TGCAGTGCTATATAGCTTTTTGGGTTTAATGATTTTCTTTTGATAATTATATATTTCCAGGCAGGTCATGCCAGGAAGCAGATGAGCAGGTAGAGGCATAATCAGACAGGCCAGGTACACATGGGCTTCCAGGAAAGCCAGGTGTACATGGGCTTCCAGGAAAGCCAGGTGTACATGGGGTTCCAGGCAGGCCAGGTGTATATGGGCTTCCTGACAGGCCAGGTGTACATGGGCTTCCAGGCAGGCCAGGTGCACATGAGATTCCAGGTAAGCCATGGGCATATGGGCTTCCACGCGTCAGGTATACATGACTCCCAGGCAATCCAACTGAACATGAGGTACCAGATAGGTCAATGTGTATATGGGCTTGAAAACAGGCCAGGTGCGCATGAGCTTCTAGATAAGTTCGATACACATGGGCTTCCAAGCAGATTTGGCAATGAAATAAATTACAACTACAGTGCTGATGAACAAAGACAAAATTTTTGTTTTGTTTCACTAAAAATTCAGTACAGTATAAAGATTTAATATTTTTGTATTATTTTGCAATCATTTTTGTTCCTTGAATCATTACGTTCTGTATTAGGTTCTCCTTCCAATAAATATTAGGCTTACTATAAGGCCATTTAAATATGTAACTGGAAAATTTGTAAATATTCTGGATTCGTGTCCAAATGGGCTACATTTGGGCTGTAGAAACTATGAAATGGTGTTAAGGTATGATGTAGCAATTCTTGGGATGGCTAGTGTGACCGAGGGACCACACTGAGATGAGTAAAATGTTGCTTACTCACACTTTCTCCTTTGGCTAAAATTTATGTGCTCTTCACAGAGCATTTCCAGAACCTTTTTTTAGTGACATGTATAATCATGTGTGCTACTTCTAAACAGTTAAGGATAATTTTATATTAAGAATGTTGTGAACTATTTGTTATTAAATATCTTGCACTATTTTTAATTCAAACTAATGTATGCCATGATTTTGTCAGCTTATATATTTAACTATGCATAGAACATTTTGAATATCCTCACCAAATTGAGCCGAGAGTCTCTATGAGCTAGAGTTTTGTTTTGGTTGAGATTATGTTGTGAGAAGCTTTTCTGAGCAAGCTCTTGTCGGCAGCTTCCCTGGCCTATTTCCAAGTTACTCTAGACCCAAGGAGGCAAGTGGATAGTTTGCTGCTATCCTTTGATTTACACATCTGGAGAAATTTAATCTGCTGTATTGTCATATCTTGATATTTCATTTGAGGGCATCCACAAGTCAAGTCTGGCCCCGGGCCGGGCTTGGGGAGTAGAAGAATTCCCAGAACCCCATCAACCAGGTATCAACCAGGTATTCTCTATTGATAGTCTAGTCACCAGTATAAGGTGGCCTAGAGGGCTTTGCAGTGTTTTGTAGTTATCTTTCCTTTTGGAAGATGTTTTGATGTCTTTGCCCTCATTGTCTGGTGAACAACACCTTATAAGTTAGCACTCTTAGATCCTCCTCTTTAATGTTTTAGATTAGATTTCTCCTTGGCTTCTAAGCTAAAACATTTTTTCTGTGGAGAGCCCCTTCAGCTTCCCAGAGCCACACTGGGCTGATGTGTATATACTGGTATTACACACACACTGTGTGTGTGTATTATATACACATCAGCCCGGTATATCTCCGGGAAGCCTCTGGGTCTCGCCCAGAAAATGGCGCTTCGTTACATTCAACGCTGTTTTTTTTTTTAACATGCTTGTTCCATTTTTAACATTTGCCACTGGAATCTTCCTGGTCTTTGAAAATCATCCTGGACTGACTTCTCATTTTTGAGTCTCCATCTATGGAGGATGTCACCTTTAAAGGGGCATGCCGTCTTACCATAGCTTCAAATTCTTGTGTTGGTGGATTGCATGCTTGTATTCAGCAATTTATTAGGCTGGAACCTCTACCATTCTATTTTGTTAAGAATGTATTGGGTCTGATCCATTGTGGGGCAATCATTATTGAGGCTTAGCTTGTATTTGTATGGGCTGCACCATACTTTTTCCTGTGGCAGCTCATCAGTATTACCTTGACTTACTGTTATTCTGGCTTGTCCTAAAGTTCTGCAGTTTATTTTCTTGTTTTAAAACTAAATTGTCACAAATCTAGTTTTGGGTTAGATGGGTGGTTAAACCGAGTCAGTCCTACACCTAATCCCAAACATTTCCCACATTTTTGTCACCATTGCATCATGTCGGGGGTGACTGCTATCGATATAACATCATCCTTTGTCTTGCCCCAGGCTTCCCCAACACACAATGTATTAGTGCAATGGAGGAGGAACTTGCTCAGTAATAAAGCATTTATTGACACGAAACGCCCCTTTCTGAACGCTACCTTGGTGGCTACCCATTTGCGTCCTACAAGTTCTGCTATATCTAAGGTTTATAAAGTGCAGCATAAAGTGGGTAATGCTTTGTTGTGTGCTTGTACTTGCCTTGGGAGGCAATTGAGGTAGTTGGTGATGGTTCTCTTATTTTTGTATCTTTAGATGAAGCTTTTACAATTTTTGAATTTCCAAGATTCACTTGGAGAGAATTGTGGGTGATTTGAAGTGTTTGTGTTATAGCAAACATTTTACCTTCTGTTGGATTGAAGTATGCTCTCTATCAAGCTCCCTGGCCCATTTATATCTAGGACAAGAAATTACAATGGTGCTGTCCTTGTTTTCCTGAGTCTAGAGTAATGCAGTGCCCGGTGATTACTGGTGGTTATCAACATCAGTGCATTAGGCTAAGGGAGCAGCCGAAATACAGCTCAAAAGGGAGCCATTATGTCACTTGATTTTTTTACAGCTCTTATTTTGTCTTGCACTTTTGCTATTAATGTAATTGTATAGAGGAGATGTCTGGTATAATTGTTTCTAATTTAAAATTGACAAGTATTTTCTGATGATAATTTCATTAGTGATGCATAAAGTCCTCATATTTTTGTATTTTTTTAGGCAAGTTTTTAGCTGTAAATGATTTTGGTTTAATTTTTTGTTTAATATTTTCTAATGGAGCTTGTAATGAAGATTAAGACTTGGGGTGTCAATGTTGGTCTGCTGCATTTTTTGAGAAATGTTATTTGGCAGCAACTTTGAGCTATGCATATCCATTTAGTAATGTTGAAATTCATATATGGATGCAATAAATAATTAAAAAGAATTTGTTTTGTTGTTTGTTTTTCCAGGATAAGGTCTCTAGGGGGGGGGGGGGCATGGGGAAAAAGGAGCTACTATATATATAAAAGATAGTCAAAATGTTTTCAATGAAAATTAGGGGAAGGTGAAAGCAGCATATCTTAGTACTGTATGCTGAGTATAAAGTATGTTACCCCTCACTTAAATTACCATTTCGTTGTCCTACAAATACCATAATGAATTTGCTGTTTGTAGTCAGTTACTTTTGTCTGTAGTGGTAGTAAGAAATGATTGACTGGAGATCCAGTGAGATTTCATATGAAAAAATAGAAAAATATATATAAATTCAGGAAAACTTGGCCTATTAGGCAAATTGGGCCTTGCATAGTAGGCTGAATACTTCTTTCTGGCTACTAGGTACAACATTTATATAATATATATATATACCTCTACCTTTAAATCAAACAGAATGTTTGTACTGTAACTCTGTAACTATGTATGTACTTTTCCTAAATAAATTATTATTATTATTATTAAGGGTGATAGACAGGAGGCACTGAACTACAGGCTAGTTTCCCCTAACTTGCTTAGCATGCAAGATGATGGAGAAGATTGTGCAAAAAAAGCTAGTTGAACATCAAGAGCGAAAGAACTTTGTAAAACAACATCAGCATGGGTTCAGGGATGGCAAATGATGCCCCACAGGATTAACTGAATTCTATGACCAGGTAACAAAAATCAGGCAAGATAGAGAGGGGTAGGCAGACTGCAGATTTTTGGATTGCCAGAAAGCCTTTAACACAGTACCACATAAGAGACTAATGCACAAGCTGGAGATGAAGGCAGGAGTGAAAGGGAAGGTACTTTCCTTACCTGAAAGGGAAAGGTACTTCCTGAAAGGGAAGGTGCTTCAATGGATAAGGGAGTACCTAAGCAACAGAAGACAGTGAGTCACTTTGAGTGAGGGAGGTTTTGGAGTAGGGAGGCATCACCAGTGGAGTCCCACAGGGATTAGTCCTTGGACCTATACTGTTTCTGATATATGTAAATGATCTCCCAGAGGGTATAGACTCGTATCTCTCAATGTTTGCTGATGATGCACAAATTTTGAGGAGGATTAGCAGAGGAAGATAGTATGAGGCCACAAAATGACCTAGACAAACTGAAGGAATGATACAACAAATGGCTACTAAAGTTCAACCCAAGTAAATGTAAGGTAATGAAACTCGGTGAAGGAAATAGGAAGCCAGACACTGGATACCGATTGGGAGACGAAATCTTGCATGAAACAGCCAGTCATATATGGAGTCAGGAGAGAACCAGAAAGCTAAGGCCTGTTAACCTCCACTAGCAAAATCTGGTTACAGCACAAGAATATCTTCCAATATTCCTGACTGTATGAAGTAATTACCGAGCTCAAATTACCTCACATCATTCTGTCTGAAGGCACTGATTGATAACAAGGCAATCACAGATATTGTGTTGGAGAGTATGTCCCAGCTCCTGTTAACATAACTTACAATAAACAAGAATGTAAAAACTCTTGTATATATAAATCAATAAACATATATATGTTAATGAAGTATGAGCGAGGCAGGGTGGTCCTTCTTTAATGAGGGGGAAGAGGCAGTTGATAAGTGGAGGGGAGATAGGTGAGGGGTCCTTAATGGAGGGTTCTATATTGGGGGGACCAGAATGGGGAGAATGGGGGATATGTTGGGCAATATGTGCAATGTACATATGGGGGGGTGATGAAGGAGGAGAGGGGGGGGTGGGGGTCGCGGCCGGCCAGCCAATCAGCGGCCGCCCTCACGTTTAAACCTCCACATGTACACACATTCAAAGTGGCGGCGCCGCTGCAGGTCGGTGTCTCCTCTCTCTCTCTCGTCTCCTGGGGCCGCCCTGGCCGCCTCCTGGCTCTCTGCAGGTGTGGTGGGGCCTGCAGGAGGCCCAGCTACCGGGGTGGAGGCCAGGCTTGGCGGTGAAATAGGTGATGTGTGTGTGTGTAGGGGGAGGTAACTTGTCCTCTCCACCACAGGCCAGGGATATATGTATACAGTATTGATGTCCCTGGTTGATGACTGGGGGGGGGGGGTGTTCACGCTGGTGAGGGGCAGCTATCCTGGCCGCTATCCTGGCCTGATATCACGGGAATTTGGTCCAAATATATTAGCAAGTGACGTGGCTGAGATTTTGGGCGTATCTGGTTACCAGTGATGGGGTTAAGGAGACATTGTCTGCTGTTAGGTCACTAGGAACACCACAAGTGTGGTGTGTGTGTGTGGGGTTGTGGTTCTGGTACACATGTGTACTGGCCAGGTGTGCAGGCAGTGTGGCGCACACCTGACTGCTGCCTCAAACCTTTTTGGTTTGGGGCAGAATCAAACCTAAATCCTTAACTGGTAGACTCTGTTTAACTCAACAATAAAACGGGTACCTGTTTGTTAATTTTTCGCGGGGTCGTATTCCAGGGATTAACTTACCCGAAGGCCTTCTTAAACTTCATATTCCACTCACACTAACTTTATTCTCTGCAAGTGACAATAACTGAAATTTTAGATATCAAATTGTGGAGCAGAGTTAGGCCTAGTGAACAATCGTCAAGTTAAATGAAGGAATTCATTTCAATAGGGGGCCTGACAGCTGAGACGACAGCACTCGGGGTTCGTGGTCCTAACCTGGACCTAAGGGTCCGGGTTCGATCCCTGATGGAAGCAGAAACAAATAGGCAGAGTTAATTTCACCCTAATGCCCCTGTTACCTATCTTGAGGTCATCTTGAGATGACTTCAGGGCTTAGTGTCCCCGTGGCCCGGTCTTCGACCAGGCCTCATTTTTGTTACACACCCCCAGGAAGCAGCCCGTAACAGCTGTCTAACTCCCAGGTACCTATTTACTGCTAGGAAACAGGAGCATCAGGGTGAAAGAAACTTTGCTCATTTGTTTCCGCCGCCACCGGGGATCGAACCCAAAACCTCAGGACTACGAATCCGAAGCGCTGTCCACTCGGCTCTCGGGCGCCATACCTAGCAGTAATTAGGTACCTAGGAGTTAGACAAATGCTACGGGCTGCTTCCTGGGGGGGGGGGGGGTGAAAATTAGGATTTAAGGACTTGCCCAAAATGCTGTGTGTGCTAGTGGCTGTACAAGGATGTAAGAACTTTTGTATATATATAAATTTAAAAAAGTGACAGTTGACAGTAAGGTACAAGGTATGTATTTTTTTTTTAATATATACAAGAGTTCTTACATTTTTGTACAGCCACTTATTACGTATAGCGTTTCGGGCAGGTCCTTATTCCCATGTTCCCTGGAATACGACCCCGCGAAAAATTAACAACCAGGTACCCGTTTTACTGTTGAGTTAAACAGTCTACCAGTTAAGGATTTATGCCTGGTAAATCCTCCCTGGACAGAACGCTCACGAACCGCCAGGCGAGCGTCTTAACCACTACACCACAGGGACTGCTATGTCATAGGTTTTGTTATATGTAAGAATAAAAGCGGCCTTTTGTGCCAGATGTACAGTTGTATTAGCCTATACCACCAGTAATTGATGTCGGGGACAGGGAGCCCATGTATACGTGTACTTTGGGCTTCTATCGAGGTCCTCCCCCCAAGGTTGGACAAATGACCCTCCCCAGGATGCTACCCTACAATTGCCTAACTCCTGGGTACTTATTTACTGCTAGGTAAACAGTTGCATTAGTTGAAAGGAAATGTGGTCAGTGGTTTCTGTCCTACCTGGAAATCAAACCTGGGATCCCCAATTATGAGTTGAGAATAAATCCATCTGTACTACAAGACCTTATGTTGAGGTACACTTTATTTACATAATGCTGTGCCTCGTGGATGAGTATCCATACATTACAGCAGTAACCTAAAGAAACTGCAACGCTCATTGTTCAGTAAGCTTACTCTAAACATCTTCATATCTGGCAACTTCTGAGGAGCATTTGTACTTTTAAATTGATAAGCTGCTGGCTTCCTGTCCTTGTTGGAGCCATTAGTGTGTTAGTGGCCCTCGGGTAAGTTTCGGAGTCCTGCTGTCAAGTGTGGTGGTGGTGGTTTACCTGAATTTACCACCAATTGGTCAGTTGAGAAGAAGTGTGATGCCTGGATCATTGTGTAAAGGAGCCTGATATGTCAGCAAACACACTTCAGGCTAAACTATATCTTGGATAAGTTGCTCCACAACATTGTCGCTTGGACCGACGACTTCCCATGGCGTCACCTGCTACATATTTACAGTACATACTTCTAATTTTGTTATGAAATTAGATTTCAAAGTAAAAATAAGTTTGATCATGTTCTGCATTCAGCACCAACATTATTGTGAGTAAATATACAGTGCCATATTTCTTCATTACTTACGTAATGGTAGCAGGATTTGGGTAGGTTTCTGTAATTCTATGGACCCTGTAATAGTGGTGGTTGTGGTGGTGCTTCTTTCTGATGGCCATCATGTATTGGTGGTGTTTCTCTCCATGGCTGTTGTATCGCTGTAGTCCCTGTGTTCCTGTGCCACGGGGACTACAGGAACTTGGCCAGTTCTGTGTTGCTAGGAGTGTGGAAGTCCACTTGGAAAGGTATACAAGGTTAATAGCATACAAGAGTGGATGTATGCTTTGAATTTGTTTAAATTATTTTTGTTTGATAATATTTTTTTAGACTCATTTAGACTTTCAGTAGAACATTTATTTATACTTACAGTATTTCCTCTTTTCCAGTGACTAAGTCTAGTATTGAAATGCAGACTAGCAAGAACGCCACAGGTGGTGGGGTGTCCGGTGGTACATCACGAGCACCACTGAAGGAAACGACCAAGGGCAATGTTGTTAATGATGAGGAAAGTGGACGGAAAGACAGCAGCGGTAGTGCAGAGTAAGTAACGTTTTGTTTAGTGTACAGTAATAGTTTTATGGTTAGAAGATGATTTTCAAGAAAGTTGTTTCTGACAGCAAGGGTTTGACTTCAATAAACATTTAAACAAATCTTGTACTGTATATAATTTTTATAACCAGTACAATATTGCTGCTGTTGAATTATTTTACCTTACGTTAATCACATTGAGAAAGAATAAAATATGGAACAATGGAGAGTATGCACTTAGCTCAATACAACTATGAAGAAAGTGACCTCCAGTTTTATTGATCCATTAATGTGGGTTCTGTGTTTTAAAGATGTAAGCGCGTACTAGTGGCTTTACAAGAATGTAAATACTGTACTATCCAATGTATTCTCACAAACCCAATGTACCTTCTTGTATATATATATAAATAAAATAAATAAAATAATATTGCAAGTAATTCCCCATTGCAGATGACTAAACCTTTCCTGCAGTAAGGTTCCACACTTTGATTAATTATAAATTCTGTTGCAACAAGATATTTCCATAGGTTACTGTAAGTTTAATTAAAAAATAAGGATTTTACCAGTTTGAATAATGAAGTCACGTACACAAGCACACTGTGTATTAGTGTATAGTGTAACAGCACCCACCTTGAATTATTTTGATGTATGCTTTATAACTGGCCTGTCAGTTTGTTATAAAAACCAGAAATCTGTGGATCCATCAATTACTTCATCTAAATAACACAATAAGTCCTCAGCTGAACTTGTAATGGTGTCAGTTGTAGGGTGGAGGCACTTGGTCTTATTAAGAATTTCTTAACGCGGTTACTTTCAGCCTCTATTCACTTTAATTACTAGGACTATTTCCCAATTTATTGGACTGGTAATGATGACAATTTTTATTTTAATGAGACCAAGGCGTCAGGATGAATGTACAATGTGGCATTGATTTTCAGTTTCTTCAGCTTCCTAAGTTGGTAATGGGATGAGAGTTAAGGGTTTTTTCTCTTGCTCTCATACCATCTCGGCAGCTTATCATGAAACACTGGCACCAGGAACAAAGGCTACAGGTGTCATAAATTGTTAGGTTCTGATAAAGAAAAAACTAGAGCAAGGACTGGTGCATCAGTTCTTCAGATTTTGGTGGGCGAGAAGCTGGCAGCAGTGTCCTGCTTTGCGAGTGTTGCCTCTGGCTTCGTTATTAATTTATTTTATTATTTAAATTATTGTACTTTCAATTGTCATACATTCACAATTTCACCAGTGGTGTGATGTATTAATGATTGTGATTCTATTCTACTGTATGATAGCACGAAATAGCATGATTCTTTGATTACTGTGCAACTTTGATATAAAATTCAGATATCCTATGTTTTTTTTACAGATTGATACTTGCTATTGAGATTAACCATGTGTAGTAATGTAAATAACACATCATCTCTCAAGTAATTCAGTAGATAGTGTTTATATTAATAAGAAAATCACAATACAGTGGTGTCTCGGTTAACGAATTTAATCCGTTCCGGCACCAAGCTCGTCATGTGAAATACTCGTCTTGCGAAACTAATTTCCGTCGAACGTCAGAGGCGTTCGAGAATTTGTGGGAACGCTAGGAAGCACCACGTGGTTTTCTCGTTAACTGAGCAGAAGCTTGTCAGTTGAGACAAATTTTCTGCGAGTGGCTTGCTCGTTATCTGAAATGCTCATAGATGGAGCTGCTTGTCACCCGAGGTTTCTCTGTACAGTACTACTATATAATAACTCAAAGTAATTATTATATTGATAAACTTAATGAAATAATTCAGATTATTAATCATTATCCACCAGCATATAAGGAAAATTTTCCCCTTATGTATCTTGCTAGATCATGTAAAAGATGTGACATGAATCATGTACAGTGGCACCTCGACTTGCGATAATTTTGAGTTGCAATGTAAATTCGATCGAAAAATGACTCGACTTACGATAGTGTCGTCGACTAACGATATTTTTTTTTACACGTTTGGGTCGACCGAGCGCGTGGTTCCCAGTCACGCGGGCCGACCTGCTTCAGTTTACTAGAGCTGCCCGCTTAGTGACGATCACCCCTATAAGAAGTTCCGTTTTTGTGATGATTTTTTTGCTTTTTGAACATAAAACTGATTATTATATATCCCTTCTTCATTATTAAGAAAATGTGTGAAGTATGGGAAGAACTGCAAAGTTTTGTTGAAAAAACTCGCCCAGATAAAGCTGTAGCAGGCCATTGCATTGACCTTTAAATGACAATGTGATGTCTTACTACAGACAAGTGTTAAAATGTAGGAAAAAACAAGTGTCTTTAGACAGATTCTTAGTAAGACAAACAAGCAGGTCCTAGTAGTATGTAGGCAAAACATGCCAGTGTGTGTATCCCAGAAAAGTCATCACTGCCTGATGTTATAATGGAATGGGGAACGCCCCTTCCAAACAGTAACACCTCTCCTCCCCCCCTTCATCACCATCTTCCATACGCCATCAAGAGTCCTCCATAAAGGTAAGATAAACATATGTACGGTATTGTAATTAGAGAAAAAAAATTCAGTATAAAATGTATTTGTAAGTTAATATTTTGGAGGGTGGGGAACGGATTAATTAAATTCCCTTTATTTCGACTTGAAATAATCGCTTAATAGGGAAAAATCGCTTTGACTTACGATATCTCGACTTATGATACGTCTCTGGGAACGGATTACCATCGTAAATCGAGGCCTCACTGTACATCTTTTCAAGGCCTATCAAAGGAATGATTAGATTTTTATTAATTAATATATTGTACTAACTGTAGAAAGTTTTTCCATAGATGGTACTTGTAGCAATTATTTTTTTATTAGAATATTTTCCTTTTTGTTAACCTTGTTTGATCTTCAACAGAGAGAATGAAAAGCGGAAATGGTCACTTGATAATTTTGAGATTGGGAGGCCCTTAGGGAAGGGGAAGTTTGGTAATGTTTACTTGGCTCGTGAGAAGTCTAGTAAATATATTGTGGCACTCAAGGTGTTATTCAAGTCCCAGTTGCAGAAGGCAAATGTTGAACATCAGCTGAGAAGAGAAATAGAGATTCAAGCTCATCTTAGGTGAGTTGTCATTTTAATAAAGTACACTGTATTAGTGATGCAGCACATTATACAGTGCTGTATTGGTTTTATACTTATGCTTGTATAGTTTTTATATTAAAATCGGATTATGACAGTAACAAAATCATTGACACAATTATTTCATGCAAATCCAGTACAGTATATTTTTGCTTATTTTCATTAAAGACAAAATATTTTTCTCAGACACCCAAACATCTTGCGTCTCTATGGGTACTTTCACGATGAAGTGCGTGTGTACCTGATCTTGGAATTTGCCCCACGTGGAGAGTTATACAAAGAAATGCAAGCACAACCTCATCGTCATTTTGATGAGAAAAGGTCTGCCAAGTACATCATGCAGCTTGCCAGTGCACTAAAGTAAGTATTCTTTTATTTTATTTGTTAAATAAGATTGTTAGAGTAACTGGTATTTTAAGGAAACGAGGAAATCTAATATTGCAACACACCTTCTGAACATAAGGAGTATAACTAGCTGACCTCTCAGTGTTCAAAAGAGAACTTGATAAACGCCTCCAAAGGTTACCTGATCAACTGGGCTGTAATTCATGTCAGGCTGTGAGCAGCCTGGTTGACTAGACCACCAATCAAGAGGCCTGATCAGAGACTGAGCCATGGGACATTGATCCTCGGAACCAATGCTAGGTAACTGCAAAGGATCACAGGACATAAATTTTGGTACTATATTAGGGTTATGCTTCCACAATTAATTGCATTGGTGCCACAGAACATTTAAACTGTCCTTGAAAGGACAGTAAGGTGCTAGGGGGGTCATTGGTGTCATCCTCCCAGCTCAGGGCGACCAATTGCAGCTAATTCATAAACAAAAAAATATACAGAATCTCTCCACAGTGATATTGCAAGTACTCGCCTAGTTGTGTTGTTGGGGTTGAGCTCTGGCTCTTTGGTCCTGCCTCTCAACTGTCGATCAACTGGTGTACAGATTCCTGAGCCTATTGGGCTCTATCATATCTACATTTGAAACTGTGTATGGAGTCAGCCTCCACCACAACACTACTTAATGCATTCCATTTGTTAACTACCCTGACACTGAAAAATTCTTTCTAATGTCTCTATGGCTCATGAAAGTGATTGTCTAGTGAGGATTTTGGTATTCACCAGTTGGCCTACTTGGTAACCTGAACTGACTGCCATCAAGTAGCAGCATCACACATGCTTCCATATCCCCACAGTCCCTCTCATACTTCCTGCTTGTTTCATGTCAGTCAACAGTCAAAGACTTTATCTTTTATTTTATTTTTTATTTTTCATTTGACCTATTGATCTTACTGGGGAACTTAGACTTCCATTGTCCGAGGCTTAGTTTCTCCATGAAACTTTGCTTGGAGTTTGTTTACAAACTTCATGCAGAATTGATCGGTATATTCAGAGTCTGTGGCCTCGTGACCACACACTTCAACCCTTATTAATGGTGGGCTGTGAAGTTGGTGACTAGAATGTTTATTGGGCCATTTTAAATGCTGGTGTTTAGCAGTTGGACAAATCACTCATGGGCAGTGATATGGGAGAAACAATGGGCAGAGTTTCTTTCACCCTATGCCCCTGTTACCTAGCAGTAAAATAGGTACCTGGGTGTTAGCTGTCACGGGCTGCTTCCTGGGGGTGGAGGCCTGGTTGAAGACCGGGCCGCGGGGACACTAAAGCCCCGAAATCGTCTCAAGATAATCTCAAGAAGAAGATCCATTGTTCACACCCAATTTCTGCTTCTTCACACACTAGATCCTCATATCCACCCATCATCATTGTTGCAGTCCTCTCCTTAGAAATTCACTTCAGTACATTGTCCACAAGTCTATCATCTGTTCATTGTTCCCAAACCTTAACAGGATACTTTAATCTTCTGTAGTTTCAATAAAATATGATGGATTAGGGTGAAAGTTTATACAGTTAGTATGGAATAAGAATGTAAAGAAATACCTACTGCAGGAAGTCATTGGAAGATATGGACAAGCTAAGGGGTGTGTTTAGTGTCCTGAAGGACTTTCTATTGTGATTATTGATGTGCTTAAGTTAAATGTTGCCTAAACAGTTTAATCTGAATATCTGAAATAACTTATTCGACCCTTTTGAATCATGGTAAATTTTATGACTTGTAATACAGTGTGTGTACAACTCATGGATAATTTTTTTTACAAATTGCATTGTATATGTAAAATTTCATAAATGTTGCCTGTTCAATGATCTTGAATTATATTCATGTATACTCGCTTCCAGGTATTGCCACACAAAGAAGGTCATACATCGTGATATTAAACCAGAGAACCTCCTCCTCAGTCTACGTGGTGACCTTAAGATAGCCGACTTTGGCTGGTCAGTCCATGCTCCATCCTCCAGGTAAAATAGTTTTGGGTTTAGTGGATATGGCAAGGATTTAATGATGAATTTTAAGATTCATGTAAGCTATGCAAATATCACTCACTTGAAGAATCGCTGCCCAATAAAGTTTTATGTTTGTCGCTAGTGGCGTGGCTTTCTTGTGCCATGTAGGCAGTGGGCGCAGTTGTTGTTTGCTTCTTTCATATCAAGCACTGCATCTAGCTTCAAGGGATGACACCCACCAGAGCTGTCATATTAATAAATGTGCCACCCACCAGAGCTGTCGCATTAATAAATGTGCCACCCACCAGAGCTGTCGCATTAATAAATGTGCCACCCACCAGAGCTGTCGCATTTATAAATGTGCCACCCACCAGAGCTGCCGCATTAATAAATGTGCCACCCACCAGAGCTGTCGCATTAATAAATGTGCCACCCACCAGAGCTGTCGCATTAATAAATGTGCCACCCACCAGAGCTGTCGCATTAATAAATGTGCCACCCACCAGAGCTGTCGCATTAATAAATGTGCCACCCACCAGAGCTGTCGCATTAATAAATGTGCCACCCACCAGAGCTGTCGCATTAATAAATGTGCCACCCACCAGAGCTGTCGCATTAATAAATGTGCCACCCACCAGAGCTGTCGCATTAATAAATGTGCCACCCACCAGAGCTGTCGCATTAATAAATGTGCCACCCACCAGAGCTGTCGCATTAATAAATGTGACACCCACCAGAGCTGTCGCATTAATAAATGTGACACCCACCAGAGCTGTCGCATTAATAAATGTGACACCCACCAGAGGTGTCACATTAATAAATGTGCCACCGTTCAGTACAACATTGTGTCGGGAAAAGGTGACTCGTGAAACCCCCTACAGTGGGATTTCCTTCCAATAGGACTCCTGTTATAGATCTCTGGGGTACATAGTACTGGTTTTAGGCCATTCTGGTTGATAACTTTGCTACTGGACATGGGTAGAAAACTAAAATTATATCTGGCTGATTGAAGTTATGTTGTGACTAAGGTGCTGAAAAACATCAGGAGGTTTAACCAAGTGTTCATACTGTGTATACATTTTCAGTGATGTTGGTAAGAAATCATACATAAGTGTCTGTTATTGTTATAAAAAAAAATGGCATAAAAATTGTCATAAAAATATAGCAAAACATATTAATCAAAATTATTTCTGATCTTGTGCTGCAGTGGATTTTGTTAAGATGGATGTGGTTTTGCATGAATTTTTTATCTGTTGAAGGTAAGTTGCACTCTACATGTTAAGTGCTTTCATTCATCCCTTGTCTATATTCAGTGATTTATATTATGGTTACTCATAATGATATGTTCTTAAACCTATTCCTCCTGGTTAATTTATCATTACATCAGTGACCCGCTTCACTCGTCAAAGTGGACTGAGCCACTCTTTCTAAGGAGCCATTGTGTTCTGGAAAAGGTTTTCCCGGGTGATTAAATTTCTAAAATTGTCAAATAGATCCTTAATTAGATTTATATTAGAATTACATTACAATTATTAGAATTATATTACAATTGTCAAATAGATCCTTAGATTTATATTAGAATTCCAAGCTTTGCATTGTCTTGCAGGCGGACAACATTATGTGGCACTCTGGACTACTTGCCACCGGAGATGGTTGAAGGAAAGCCTCATGACGAGAAGGTGGATCTCTGGTCCCTGGGAGTACTGTGTTACGAGTTCCTCTGTGGTAATCCCCCTTTTGAAGCCGAGTCAAACCGAGACACGTACAGTCGTATATCAAAAGTGGATCTAATATTTCCTTCACATGTATCTGATAAAGCCAAGGATTTAATGGTGAAGGTAAGATTTGAGATAATACTGTACATTCTATAATTAATTCATGTTATATATATGAATAACTAATAATTTGCTTTTTAAGTACTTCATATATAGTCTATCAACTGGCTTAGATTTAATGGAATGCAGAAGTAGGATGTCAAATGAACAAATCCACAAGGGCTGTGACGAGGATTCGAACGTGATATGATGCATCACGTTATAGTGTGATCTCTGTGTGTGTTAGGATGTCAAGGTACTAGTGTTTGCGAGAGGTATTATGAAGTGGCAAATATTTTGGTTAGCTTTAACCACCTTTTCTTACAGGTTTCATCTGTACTTGGTGGCAGTGATGCTTGTAAACTTTTTTGTGGGAAATGTAATAATAATAATAATATGAAAGTTTGATTGGCTACCATTGATGCTGGATGTAAGAGGTTTGAGCAGTGGTATATTCCATATTTTAGGTATCCTTTGTAAGGGATACTTTGATTTTCATTGGATTATTTTGAGATTGCATTCTGGCATTTTTGAAGCATTATGCGAACAGATTGTGTTGTCATAGGATCATTACGCAGCAGATTATTTATGCATAGATTCCGCAGGGACCTATTAAAATGGACTTCAGTCCATACTGAACTGTGCATCTGGACTTAACATTTTCACATTGGCTCCCTGTGATGGCAAGAATTGAGAGTTTAAATTGCTTAATTACTAAAAACTATTTAGTTAAATAAATCCAAAGATTTGGCAGATACATGCAGTATATTTCCATTTACATTGGGTGCTTTGCACATTACCATAGACTCCTTCAGGGATGAAGAGCCTCGTGCTATTGGAGAGATTATTTACTAAAAGGGCCTATTCTTGTATTGCTTCTCAATTGTTTAGCCAGTTGCCTGTGCCTGTTGAAACTGTAAACAGAGTCTAGTCACGGGTCCCACTTGAAAGCATATCTTGGCTCCAGAGCTTGTGCTGCTACTCAAACTGTCATTGGAATATAATCCCCTATCCATTCTCATTTGTCTAGGCACTTGTGAAATGTTTGAAAGAATGGGCGATCAAGACAAAACTTTTAATTATCATTATCACCCTTGACTGTCCATTATAAGGTCCTTGAGAATCAAAAATTACTTATTCTGAAAAGTCTTTTTGCAAACATGAACTTCTCAGAACTGTCACCATAATGGTGTGATAGGTTACCAGGAGCCTAATACTCAATGAAGTTGTCATATTTGATCCAGGGTCACAAGTGACCTAAATTCTATGACCGACATTTGGACTATGCTCGTGGCAGTGCATAAGCTGAAGCCTTGAGAGCTTTTTTGTTTACTACTTAGACTGGTGGGCTATTTTAGATTGAAATTGTGACATTCTGAACCTTCAGTTCAGTGAACTGTTTACCAAAGTCTATATGTAAGTGGTTTGACCTTTTGTATGTACCTCTGTCTGATAAAATTGCAGCCCATATTTGAGACTTCAGCCTGCATTAGTAGCCAGTTGTGAGGTTTTTCAATAGAGGCATTAACACAGTAACCTATTGCTGTTCATCCCTGTGTTACTGGCATGCTTAGTCAAATGTTTAATGCTGAGAGGCTTGTAACAATCTATTTATTACCCTAACCTTATCAGGGTTCCAGGTCTGTTTTACATAGTTGTCTATGCCACAATGAAAAGTACCAGTTTCTGTAATGTGCTTGCTTTCCATACTGGTTCTGGATGCAGAGAGCCATAAGAGTTGTCTTCCATATTCAGAATAATGAATGTATACTGACAATCTTCCATCCTTCCCTTGTCAAAGGTCTGTCAGTCATGTCCATATCTCTTGACCAGCCCCTTCCCAAATTGTGTATTGTTACATTTTTTAACAGTGAAAAGTTCTGATTTGTACAATTGACTTGGTCCTCTTTTTAATTAATTCATGGTCCTCAATTAATTGTGTTTATGGTCAGTAGGGTTTCTTGAGACGTGCATTTTGTTCCCACCGTTATCCATTTCTGTAACAAGATTGTGCAATTGGCTTAGCGGCCAAGCTGAGGTTCCAAATGCTTGGCTGTGGATATCTTCCATGTTGCTTGTCTTTTAGCTCTAGGCATTCAGAGTGATTTTAGGACCTTTTAAATTTCCTGCAATACAAATGGTGTTAAATATTCTTTCTGACTTGTTCTCTTGATAATTACAGTACTTGCTTACTTCATACTGTGAGAAGGGAGGAAATGTTTGTATATACTATTATATACGACGGCTCATAATGACCACTGTACCTAGGCCAGGGTTCAACAAGCATTTGTGTCCACTTATGAATCCTGTGCATCTTTCTTTGATCTGTATTTATTAGACAGTTTAAGCTTGGAAGCAATTTTTTAGATTTCTCTTGATCGAAGGATGCTATTATGAACAACCTTGTAGTTTATTGGAGCTCATAACCTATATATTTAATAAATGCAAACTAACATTTTTCCCATCTCGTGACACTATTTGAGTCCAACAATAAAATATTTGTATAAAATTAATTTTTTATTCGATCGACTTTGGGATAGTTTCAAAATAAGCGCCTTTACATTGTGCACAATTTGGTACCAAAATGAAAGATGTAACATGAAACTTGATGTCGGAACACTTGAAAGATTATAAGTACATTTTTGGCCAAATTTTAAATATTTGTTAAAATTCTATTTATTGTGCTAATATTATGGGACTACAGTAGTTTTAAAATGCACGTCTTTTGATTATGAACAATTCGATACCAAAATGAAAGATGTAACATAAAAATTTGTCAGAACACTGGAAAGGTATAAGTAATTTTGTAATGATGAGTGTCCAGAATTAAAATATGTTAAAATTCCAGTTATTGTTCTATTATTATGGGACTCGCTTTAAAACACACGCCTTTATATTGCGAACAATTTGATACCAAAATGAAAGACGTTAAGACGAAAATTGATGTTATCAAACTGAACGAGTATACACATTAAGCCGCTTTGTGCAAATTGGTGCTCGTTCAAGGGTAATTTTAGGCTTTGCTGTGGGGAGTCACGCCGGGCTTTTGGACATTATATGCATATACACCTGTAGGGAATTTAATTGTGAACACAATGATACCAAAACAAACGACGTAGCATGAGAATTAGGGTGAGAAAACTGAAACGAGTATACACATTTTACTGATTTTGTGCGCTCACAGGTAACTTTTGCCAACTTTAGGCTTTGCTGTGGGAAGTCATGCCAGGCTTTTGGACATTATATGCATATACACCTGCAGGGAATTCTATTGCGAACACTGATACCAAAACGATCGACGTAACACGAGAATTAAGGTGAGAACTGAAACGAGTATACACATTTCGGTGTCGCTGAGCACTCGCCAGCACGCCGGGAGCATGACCTCTTAAGTTTGCGGCGGGCATGCTGGGAGTGCGAAAGTATTAAGCTGCCATGATTGAGGAAAGATGTACAGGTTTAGTATGTAGTCATATAAATTCTTGATAAATTCTGGCCCAGGTGTTCTGAAGGGGTGGGTCACTGTGGTGGATGATGGCCAAAGTGTGGCGGTGGTGGTGCTTTGTTTATCTGTGATGCTAGTATCCACTCGATTTAAGGACCTCTTATTTACCGTTCTGCCAGTACTAGTGACCGAATTTTAGATTGTTAACTGGCGCCTTATTTACAGTCGATGACTGTTAAATCCGGAATACGATATTGAGTTTACAGAGCCCGATATGCATGAATTTGGAGGCCACTATTGTGTTTGTTGTGACAAGCTTGCCCTCGCTAGGCCAGCAGTTAAATTTTCGCTTAACAGATTTCACTGCTCCTGTTATACAGCATGTCAGAGCTAGTCGCAGTCAGTCAGAGGCTGCCATAGTCAATTCAGTCAGCCATCCATTTGCAGTCACAAGTCAGTCAGTCATAACCCATCAAAGGCAGTTAGGCATTCACAGTTGTGGTAGCAACCAGTCACAGTTTATAAACATGAGTGAGGTTGTTTACAGAACACCAATGTTATGTACTCTCATAGACCCAATGTACCTTCTTGTATATGAGTAAGCAAGGAAGCAAGTGTATATGTATATGTATCAGGCAGGGCAGTCTGCCTCTAAGGCCACTAGCTGGTAGGAAGGTAGCCAAGAATCTGACCCATATGGTATTAATCTGTACTGACCATCTAGATGCTGCTGGAGGGGTGGGGGAATATTTCTGGGAGGATCTGGTGGGTGGGGTAGGATGTAGTGGGGATGGAACAAGCATGACCACTGCCAGTCAAACCCAGTCTGCCTGCCACTCTGCCAGTCAAACCCAGTCTGCCTGCCAGAAACCATACCAACCAACCAACCACCCAGCCTGCCCATGCACCTACCCACCCCATCCACCTTCTAGCCAGCCACCAATTCATCCATCCACCTACCTACCCACGTGCCCACCCATCCAGCCAGTATGCCCATCAGTCGGCCACCCACCTGCTAACCCTGCCTGCCAGTCGGCCACCTATCCACTTACCCACCCTGCCAGCCATCCCCACCCACCAGTCAGCCACGAATCCATCCACCCCACTCACCTGCCAGTCAGCAACTAATCCATCCATCCACCCAACCTGCCTGCCCACTAGCCAGCCAGTTCACCTACCCACCCCCACTGCTGCCTGCCTGCCTGTCTGCCAACCAGCCATTTACCCATCCAGCCCACTTTCCTGCCCACCCACCCACTTGCCTCACCCACCTAGTTGTCTCGCCCACCTACCTACCAACCAGTTGACCAGTCAGCCCACCCACCATCTATCCTGTTGCTTTCCCAAATAAACAGTTAGATATTTTAAAAACAGTTAGATATTTTAAAACCAGCGGATTTGGTAGGGCCCTGAATTTGACGCCCTGAATACAGCCCCATGTAGGTTGTTGAATCGAGTGGATACTTATTGTAATAAATTAATTAATAAATTATAATAAAAAAATGTCTTTGTACTATTTATTTTTTGTATTAGCATGGTCTCTTACCAGAACTGTAATAAATACAATTGAAGACAATTATGTAGCAAAAGGGCCCAAGAGAAAATTCTTTTAACATAAAAACACCAATGTTTTTAAGCTCCCTCTAAATATAGGGAGAATTTCTACAAGACCTCTTGTGTTTTAGGCGAGAGCTTGATAATCACTTGCAAGTGGTACCTGATTAACTGGGCTGTGGTGCCTATGATAGAATGTGAGATGCAGACACCAGCATCCTAAACTATGGTTAACCTGAGACCAGATCAGACAATGATCCCTGGAACAACCAGATGTTTGTATTCTCGACTCATACTCCCTAAACTATAATCATTATACTCCCTGTACTCATTGTAGCATTCTCTAGTTATTGTACTCTTGTATTCATTAGATATCACTGTTCATACCTTAAAATATACTGGCATAGAAGTGCCCATCTCGATTGCTTTTGTGGGATCGAAACGTATCTGGCTTTAAGAATATACTGTGTGAGATTGCCTAGAACATTGTTTGTATTGTAAGATACGTTTGGTATATGAAACCTTCCTTCCATGATCAGCTGTGATTCAATAATGGTTACTATTTTACTGTTTTTTCTAATTCCATGAGTTTTGTCACTATCATGCATTTCTTTTATATAGATAAGCCCGTGTGTTTTTCCATTGCTTGTGTAACTCCTCCAGTATTATTTGTTCTCCAACAGCTGCTAAGACACAGACCCAGTGATCGTTTGAGCCTTGACGGTGTTCTGCAGCATCCCTGGATTTTGGAATCGACCAAAGAATCTGCCACTTCAGCATGCCATGCACACTGATCTGGCTTGGTTCAGGAAAACAAGAAAATAAATAACATTATTGGGTGTCATTAATACCATGTATTTCTTGGCAACTTCATTGTCACTTCATTGCTCTGATCTCATTCCATGTGATTTCTAATGTCTTGCTAAGTGGAACTTACAGTTCACATAACAATTCAGAGGGAATATGTGTACATGTACATCACACACACACACACTTCTTTCAACACTGTAAATTGTCATTACCACGTGATCGTCGTCGTCTTGCTCTTCGACTCCAAGGTCTCGGTAAGGGTCTTCACAATGTACCGACAAAGTTTCCCGGGAGTCTTGGAGGAAATGGCAGACTCAGACAGTAATATAAGTGTTCAATTTTTGCAAGGTTGCATGATTAGATCTATTAAAAAAAATGCTCACCAAGAGAACCTATTTTCTTTTTGTGTACATTCATCATCTTGTTATTGAAGAGCATCACTTGTGAGAACCCGTGTTTACCTGACTTGTTCTTGCAAGTAACCCCATATTCCACCACCACCCATATTGAACCACCCATATTCCTTTATAGACTTAATATAATTAATTGGTAAAAATGTATTATGTGCTGCTATGTTAAGCAACAGGCAAAGATTCTGGTTTATTTTCCCCATTTAAGTTTTCTAGTTCGTTATTCGGTACTTTATAATGTTGTTTATAACACGCACTGTACACAAGGTTACAGATTATTAATAGTCATTCAGGTAGTGGTGCTGGGAGGTCACGACACTGCGGCAGGCTGTCTGTTCATCTACCTTCAAGTTGCGTTGCCTTGACATGCTTTAGGTTTATAAAAAGTGTAATTCATAATAATAGATGTACAGTAAGTTGCTCTTTAATGGTGACTTTGAGTAGTCGAGCACACCATGGTGGTAGTTAGTGGTGGAAGTAATATTTGTTCTGATTGTAACTTATAAGTTCTGTAAAGTGGAAAGTGAGTTTTATGCATATTCATACATTTGCATGCTAGTAAAGTATACATTTGTTTGAATTAATATTTAGTTCATTAGTTAATGTATTTAGTATTTGTGTGAATGTTTGTACTTCATGTCACCTGAGAAACTGAGTGTAAGTGTGCTATACCTGGCTTGTAAGATGATTACAAAATAAAATGGAGTTTTACCAGTTTGTAACATTTGTTGTAATGTAACACTTCTACCCCCAGGCATATCATGCCTCCTATTATTCTTATCTTGGTCTTAGACTGCTTTGTAATTTCATGTTTGGATTTTTTTTATAATGTTGGGCATCATTTTCACCTGGACTTCCAGGTATGTTTATTTTTAATGCTTAAATCCATATGGGTTAAGTAATCATATTTACAGATTTTGTGAAAGCCATAGGCATTTTGCTTTGCCATTGACAGCACACATTTAACGGTATAACCAAGTTAATTAACTATTACCTTCTATTCTCTCTCTTGATAATAACCCATATTAGTTTAGTCTCATAAAATTTGGTTTGCACAAGTCTGCACCTCTAAACTCTTGCCTCTGAATCTTCTGTGCTTGGCTACCTTACCTTACCTTCTGTGCTTGGCTTGGTTCTATCCTAATTTAATCACATTTTACTTCTTGTTAATATAGAAACTACAGTAATTGTAATGGTATTGGTTCATCTTGTCAAATACCCTTCAATGTGCTACATCTTCTCGAGGTTACTTGTTTACACAGAAGCAAAGTTTCTTCGTGCAATGATGCAGAGAACACATTTTACCTTATTGTTTTTCAAATGTATATACTGTAGTAAAATTTAGCTTCTAAAATGTTTCTCGAGGCAGTATCGGCATAGGAATTGTTAGAAATTTTCAGGAAACTGGACATAGCCTTATATACTTCTGTAACTGAAATACTTTGGTTCTCGAGATGCTTGATAGTTTTCAATGTTTATATAAACAAATTATATTTGGTAACTTTTTAATACATTTTCTGACTTGTATATTCTGGCAAACCGTCCTGCCTGGGTTCCATCATTGGATAATTTAGCCATACCTCTTGTACATTATCTGTAATTTTCTTTAAGCTCAATATAATCTCAAATTTAATACGCATTCAGTGTTCTGTACTCCTGTATAACCCTTCTCCCATTCTCACAGCTTTGCCATTTAACAAAAATAAAATCCTAATTGTGATTTTATAAAATGACCGCAATCTGCACATAGAGTATAATTATGTCTTGAGTTTCAAAGTGTGTGCGTTATTCTTCAGGTTGATATCTGGGCACTGGTCAAGTTTTGTGCTTCAGCATTTATTTTAATAAGTAAATATTTTTATTAAAGTTTATACTGCTTTTAACCTCTAGTAGATTAGCTTTTAAGGTAGTTTATTATGTTGATACAGTATACTGAGATGGCCACAATGTGTTTCATTAAATGACTATTCATATGTATAGTTTGCTTCTGTAAATACAATAGGCAAGTAAGTTTCTATATATTGATAAGGCATAGATTAACTAAGCAACTTGATTGCATATATAAAATGAATGATATCTTTCTTTTTTTTATTGATACCCACTTCCAGATTCAAGGATTGAAGCATTAAATTCAAAATTGATTGTGGAGTTCATTAGAGGACTAGGTCAATAATGCCAGCCTGGAAGACTCGGTGATGTACCACAGATGGTGCTAAATTAGTAAGATGTGCATAGGACTAGTGATGTCAAGATTTTATCAAGGGAAATGACTAAATGTTGGACAGTAATATTTTTGATTAGCCTGAAAATTGGATCTAAGCTGGACAACACAATGCAGGTGTTTCAATGACAAAGATTCATGGGAGAGGGGGGGGGGCAATGCATTACATACCTAGAGTATTTTTTCCACTTGTAATGGGGTTAGGTAGATCAAGGTATGTTATATTAAATGGTATACAGATGAGAATACATCAAACAGTTGCCGATTACATTATTGGCGACACCACTCCCAAGGGGTGTCCCCTTATATGTCAAGGCGGTGTTGGCTACTCTATTGTTTTTCCTGATTGCACTTGTGTGTCGCTTACCTCCAGAGACTAGCATCTTCACAGTGGAACTTTATGCTATTCTCTCTGCTCTTCGTCTGCTTTCTCGTTGTCAATCTTCCTTTGTTGTTGTTGACTCTCGTAGTGCCCTCATGGCTCTCGGGTCCTTTAATCCGGTTCATCCAGTGGGTGTCGAGATCCAGCATTGGCTGTTTCTTGTTCACAGTAAATTTCAGTCGGTTGAGTTTTGTTGGGTTCCCAGCCATATTGGTGTGTCTTTAAATGAGCGTGCGGATGCTGCCGCCAGGGAAGCTGTCCGCTCTTGTCCCATGTCTCGTAAAGGTATTCCTTATTCCGACTTTTACCCGGTTATCCATTCCTCCATCCTTACCCGTTGGCCTTCTGTTACTGGTAACAAACTGCGTACTCTTTAAGAGTTGTGTGTCCTCGTGGCCGTCCTCCTACCACCGTACCCGGCGATGGGAAACGACTCTAGCGAGGTTGCATATTGGACATACTCACTTAACTCACGGTCACTTGATGGAGCACCGCCCAGCTCCTTATTGTCCACATTGCATTGTCCCTCTTACGGTCGTGCATATCCTTGTTGAATGTCCTGACTTCTAGGACGAGCGTGTCTTGCTTTTCGACCGTCCCTCGATAGAATTCTTGGCAACTCGGATACTTTTTATATTGTTCGCCTTGTGCGTTTTTGTTATCGTATTGGCATCCTTGGTGATATTTAGCGCCCTCTGATTATTCCGATGGTGCATTATACATTTGATGGTGCTACATAGCCTTCTCAGTTTGGTGCCTTCTTTTGATAATTACTTATTTATATGTCAAGGGAATACCACCTATGATAGCAGGGTACATTGTCCTGTAGTGTGCACTCCTCCTAAAACGGAAAAAAAACTGCCCAGGCATTTGCCAACAGATTCCCTCGTATCCCGGCCTGGACACCCAAAACCGTTCACACACTGCGCACAGGTGACCAGATGCTATTCAACAGGTGGGGAGATACAGATGCTCCCTGTACTTGCTCAGTCCTATTGCCACATTTTTTTTATTTTGGTAATCTGCCATTAAAAATACTTCACCAAATATGTGTAAATATGGGCATGAGATTAGAATCCAATTCTCATAATTTCTATCCAGTAGTGTAAAACTTTAGTTGACATTAGGAATTTTTAAATAATACTTTAGCTAATGTCATTTAGGACACCAATGAGAAAATAAATGAACTAGCAAAGAGTATCGGATTCGCCAAAGATTTTATAGTGGGACATGATTAAAGAACATTGGAAAAGTAAAATTTCAGAGCCTCAAAATCAGGATATTATATGTGGTGTGGAACAATGCAATTCTGACAGCCAGGCGAAAGGCTTTGTTTCATTAAGTGCCTGTTAGTTAATTGTGGCCAATATGCAACCTAGACATATTTCCTACATCTTATTTTAGTGGCAGGGGGTATAGGTGTCACAATAACTAACCTTCCTGATGGAAGGTTAGTTATTACGAATATACAGTACTGTATTATGGTTGTGAACTGTATGAATGATGGTGGAAATCAAAGTAAGAAATTCGCCCCTAGGAAATACAACCAACATGACTGGCCTCTTAACACTGAGGTCATTTGAGGCAACACCAATATGGCTGGACACCAAACAACTTGAATACTGTGTATATGCTAATGACTAGGAACAGTCAATTTTGGATTTTTATTAGCATGGGGTGTGAAGGGCTAAGATTCCAGAGCCTTGAGTCAACTGCAATAAAATGTGAGCACATAAAAATTAATGGTTTCAGGATTCAAAATTTGCTTAAATATCAAAGGTAAAAAAGTGAGAAGGGGATATTGTCCCTATGCTTTAGGTTGAGAACAGACTGTTCCATTTTATAATGAGCATGTTCTGATGACATCATCATCAGAACATAGGATGGACACCATTGCAATTTATGCAACAAATTTGTAGAGGCAGCCTGAATATGACCGGATTCTTCACAAAAAGGGTAAAAGATAAATTAATTTCGCCAAGTTGCAGCCCTGCAAACTGGCTAAACCTTCAGCAAGTATGGTACGGTACGGTACAGTTTTGCATTGGGAGTGTTTTGGGACTTGTAAGATAGTCTTATTATTGTTATGGTACCATTAATTTCAAAGATCCTTGCCTCCAACAGTGAAATGGAAAAGGAGAATAATAGTGCCCTCAACTGCATTCATCTGGACTTTTTGTTGGCGACCCTTATTAGACTCGCCAATGTGCAGCCAAGACTGATGCAAGTGAATGTACAACTGGAGTAACAATTCCATGCTCATCAGCATGGTCGATATATATGGCTCATATAGGTTGATTAAACTTGTTACAGAACATGAGTGCGCAGAGCCGGAGAATCAAAGAAAGGGCAATTATGATGCTGCATCCCTCCACCCCCAAGAGTGGTATCAGGACACTTTGGCATCATCAGCAGACTTTGAGCCATCCATTAACAGCTGTAGTGAATATGTTGAAGGAAAAAGGCATTTGTGTATAGTAGGTCTTTACAAAATTTATCAAGCAGGACTCCATAGGTGTAAGGACGAGACAATACGAGGGAATATATTGTGCAGAGAGAAATGGGTAGGTTATCTAATAAATTCTTCGTTGTCAAATATTACATTTTCCATTGACTTTCCATGTGTCGTCAGAACCAAAAATGGGAACCTTCCTTTGTATTAGTTATACTAAGTTGACTCGTGGTCATTTGATGGGAAGGAAACTTTGCCCCTTACTATTCAAACTGTCTTGCATCTTTTATATAGATGCCCTGCTGATGATCTTGTGTCATTCTGCCTTTATATTGCATCTTTAATGGTACTTTTCATAAGAGTTGAATATTAGAGTGCAGAACTATACAGGCATTCTGGCTTTGAGCTTTCTTGTGTTAATTACTTTTCTTCTAATGTACAACGTAAATGCCTATAAAAAAAAGGAATATCAAATGATTTGTGCACAAAACAAAAAAAGTAAGTTTAAGTTGGCTTACATTTGGTAGCAGTGATTTATTTCAATCTCTCATAAGTGTACAAAATAAACAATTACACCCACAGGATAAATATCTAGTTTTGGAATTATTACATGTTAATAATGAAAGTTAATCTCCATACAACATTGAAAATACAATTTGCCGAGTATTATTATCCATATCTTCTTGAATCTTATAAAATACTTCTTCTGCTAAGCGTTTATGCTTCACTCTTCTGTAGATCATTAATTCTCCATATAAATACACACCCATTGATTGGTCCTCCAATAAAAATCTTTCAACCTCTGCTAAATCCTTATAATTATTTTTTATAACAAGTTCACACCACCTGTGACGTACGTCTCCGCTCTGAGAGCTTATGCTGTAGTGTTTGTTGACCTCACTTAGTGTCTTTTGGCACAGCTTTGGTAACTCTAGTAAATACTCAAGGAGTAGCACCAACTGATCTGAGAAAATAAATTCTTCAACAAGTCCCTTGGCCTTCTTTATGGTATGCTCCATCCTGTTCTGAGATTTATCAAAATTTTTCCAAAAGATGAAGTGTTGCCTCACTTCGGAAACTAAGCCATTGGATATGTCTCCATACATTTCTTTTATTTCAACATTTAATCCTGGCTGATGGAGCCAAACCCTATACAAAGATTCCTGGTTAATATCTTTTTCTAAAACTTGAGGAAATGTGGAAATAAAATAATCTAATACATGTTTGGACAAAACTAGTTGTCCATGATAGACTGATACATACTCTTTTAACATTGCATCAAATTTGGCTCTTCCTACTAATCTACTTAAATACTTAAGAAGAAAGTAGCCCTTCAAATAATGTACTTGTAAGAAAGTTTTATCTGGGTTCAACCCATTTTTAACATAATTTATACCATCTTTATCAACAAGGTTTTCTCCTTGCATAGGTCTTAAAGTCTGAAGCTCTTGCATGGAATTTTCCAGTTCACTTGCAAGTGTTCTATATTTTAGATGTGCTCGAAGGTCCGATAGTTCCTCCAGTCTCTTTCTTTCAAGCTTCTGGTCTAACTTGAATATAATAGTATTTGCCTTCAAAACCTGACTACTACTATTATTATTTTTTTTACCCCAAACTGAGTTCCTCAAAAATCTTTCCTCCTTTATTTTTGTCATTCTTCCCTTAACAGCCAAGTTTGAATGTTCATCAAACATGTAACAGTTGTGATCAGAATTAGCATTAGACTGTAAAACTTCACCAATATTACGTTCTTTTCCCGACTCCCTAAACATTATACTATGTTTGCAACTCATGTTAATGCTTCTCTCAGTGTCATTAAGAACACAATCTTTTGAACTAACATTAATGACTTGAGCTGAAGTACAGGAAAGACCCACTTGAGTTTCCAACCCACTGCTGCCTTCTGCTTCCTGCTGAGAGCTGTCACAGCTCGGGCTCCCACACAGTCTCTCCTCTAAAACAGTGCATTCAGTTTTCTCACAAGCGAGGACTGCTTCTGCATAGATAGAGTCTTCCATGTAAGTGGCGAATCCTTCACTTAGCCATTCCTCTGTCCAGTCTTGTGCACCTATGTTTATGCCAAACCATGCATGGCTGCCACAAACATGTAATATTGTTAATAAGAATACAGTACATGCAACAAACTGATGATTACTCTAATTTGCTGACAGAGTTAAGCACCTAAAGTATGAAAACTTTATAAATGTAAAAGTTTGTTTTCAAGAAAACAGCCCTCATTACTACTTCTATACATATTCCTTGTAGACTAATTCTTTTACCATATTAACAATTTATTCCTGACCAGGGAATTCTGTGGTACTCCAAGATTTAGTCACAATCGAGGATCCTGGGCAGAAGAAAAATGGTTAGGCATATTTTTTTTTTTACCTGATGCTTCTGTTAACTGAGCAGTAAATATATACTGTACCAGGAATTAAACAACTATTGTTGGTTGCATCCTGGAAAAGGTGACCTAGGGAAGGACTTGAATGTGCTTAAGTGCAAGCTTTCTCTTCCCAGCAACAGGAATTAAAGTTGTGCATATAAAATGATTATACAGTACTGTTATTAATATTAACCTAATCTCTTTACCAATGAAGCAAGCTCCTCTATCTCAACTCCAGGAGACCACAAAGAACTTTCTTCTGAGCTGACCTGATTGAACTAATCAAATGTAATCCCCTCAGCAGGCAGATTTGAAAAGAACAAACAGCCACCTTTTTCTCTAAGAAGAACAAGTAAAAAGCTGAGGGATCCATGGCAACACACGGCACTGAAGCAGTCATGTTCAACCTGCTATTGGGAACTGAGGCCACTCCATATTGCATTTGTCAACAGAATTCAGTATCTTAATTTCTTTGATACTCTGCCTTGAGTAAACTGTATATCCACAGCATGTTTGATCTTACTCAAACCTGTAGGTTGTTCACACTGAAAGTGAACCACCTTCCACTGCCCTTGTGAATGAGGGCGGCAAGTAGCTGCTCCTCTGTGTGGGAATAGTAAGTTATCCCAAAATGGTCACCACTTAGCCAAAATTCAGTTCCTGTTTGTCAACTAATATGAAGAGCAGTCTGGATATATGTAAGTTAATGGCAGAATGAAGCATTATGCAGGAATGCTGCTCCTGCTGCTGCCTGGTGGTGGCAGGGAAAAAGCACATACTGGTTTGGATTACTTAAGTGATTTAGTCTGAAATTAGCGAGCATATACTCTGTAGGGGTTAAGCTTAGGTCTCAATTTTCAGAGTTTTGCATTTTATCCTTGGCTGTAAATATACTGTACTGTAAATATTCTTTGTAAAGGTACTGTACATCATATTTTTGTAACAACAAATCAAGTTTAATGTATTGAGAAGCTAAAAGAACATTAACTGTTATGTCAGATGTTACACTAGCCAGGGATCTTAGATGCTGAAATCTAAAAATATGAAAATGTCCATAAATGCACATTGGCCTAAACCATTTCTGATTGTACTCACCTATTTGTGCTTGCGGGGTTTGAGCTTTGGCTCTTTAGTCCCGGTTTCATTGTAAATACTTAACTGTACTGTATACAGCTTCTAAAATTAATATGACCTTTACAATATATTAACATATAAATCCAAATATGAGAAATCGTGCTGTAATTAAAGTTAAAGATGTCATCATTTATGACATGGGAAGGAAGAAGCATTATGTGGGGTTGGAGTTGCTGCCTGGTGATGGCAGGTGTTCTCACTAAACACAATTTAAAAAAATTACATAAATTAACCTCAAATTTCACATATTTCGCATAAGCCTAAGTACAGACTTCCTGTCTCTGACCATAGGAAACAATAATTGCTATGAGTAACTAAAGATAACCAATCTATTAACTTAAGTAAATTTTAAAAATATATATTTACATTTATGAAAAACTAGTTACCAGGTTTCGTTCAATTTACATAAAGCATTACTCCAGTCTTATGTTATGGAACATATTTATTTATTTATTTATATATATACAAGAAGGTACATTGGGATTGTGAGGACATATATCACCCATATCACACAGAACCCATATTGTATCATATATCATAACATCTATACTATATCATATATTACCCATATCACACAACACCCATATGTATCATATATCATCCCATGTCACACAACACGCATTCTGTATCATACATCATCCATATCACAGGTACCCATATTGTATCACATTTGCTAAATTGCTTGAACAATTCATGTTAGATTATTTCTCATTTACTGTAGTATTGTTTGCCACATTAAACTTATTGATAAGATAAGATGTTTATTCAGGTACAGGTAAATATATTGAAAATGAGTTACTGTACAAACATAATGTTGGATTTATAGATAGAGCAAGTACTGCTACATACAATGCCTGAAACCACTAATACGCACAGCGTTTTGGGCAAATGATGATTTAAATGAATTCATTTAAGTTATGCCTAAAATGTTTTGCATATTAGTGGCTTTATATAATGTGCATTTTCTGTAGCTGCTATTAACTATGATATCATATTCTTATCTATGTTTTTACTATTCTTCTTCTTATATGAAATCTTACTTTAGCCTATTGGCTATCTGTTAGTGCCATTACAGACAGACAACTAGTAATTATAAAAGAGAGAAAACTAGTGTTTATTAAGCATTACAAGTGCTATTGACGTTGCATGCAAGGAAAGCTCACCTTATTTCGTGTGCTAAACGAATATGTGCAGCTGGATCATCTAAAACGACAGTTGGTGATAAGAAGATAAGATTAGGTGATGCTAATCCCAAACTTCCAAAACATGATGGAAGAATTACCAGCTCCACTCTGCGACAAGGATATGTGCCGAGTAGATGAACTGCAGACTTCACTGCAGAAGGAAGAAATGCACTTAAAGTATTTATTAATTTAAAACTGGATGATGGATAAACAATTCTTAATGGTGTTTCATAACTCCAAAGTATAGATTTCATGTGGCATGGGTATTCATAATGACAACAGGAGTATTTTTTGGGAACCATGTCCTTCTCTTCTTTTTTTACTTGATCATGTAAATGCTTTAAATCTATTGTTGGGAGGATTTCTGTTTCCCATTTCCCAATAGCAATAGCTATGGTAGCAATAGGAAGAACCATTGTTGTGTAATAATAAATGCAAACAGTTGAAATATTATTGTCTATAATGTCTTCCTTGCAAAATGTAATATCCTGGTTGACTTGACTTATAGTGCAGCACTTCTGTCTACTATGTTGCAAGGCTGTAGCATCTTTCATATAATCCTCTATAGAACCCATGAATTTAGTCGGTACATTATCTCCTGTCATTGAAACATAATATTCCTCACTGACTGTGACCCATGCCTGCCAAGTAGCCATGGCTGATGGGGGATCCTGACAAGGAAGAAGTGAGCGGTTATTTATTTCTGATGCTGGGGTAAATATGCAAGAATTGCCATCTTTATCATTTCTCCAGAGAATAGACTTTCCTTTGGGGGTTGTTTCATATTCAATACACACAGCTTGAGGGAATTGTTTAACATTCTTTATACCTTTTTTACATATTCTGATACTCCAAGCATCAACTGTGTATTGCAGTGGTATGTGTTCTCTGCTAGACCAGAAATTAATTGCAACGCCACACACTCTGGGATATTTTGGATCTAAATACTGAAACAGGTCGACTCCCTCGCATGATACTTCAGTTATACGGTTCACTTTGATGTCACAACAATCCAAAACAACCTCAAAATCTTTACATTCCCTGTTCTCAACATTTATTTCAGTTGTCATGCAATACTCATCATTGGTATCATAAGGGAGCTCAGGAACAATTTCCCTCTTTATCTCAAGTAAATTTCTGGCTTCATCCTTAACAGGAGATTTTGTGTGTCGGCTGATAGATGCAAAAGCACTTTCAATGTTGGGCACATCAGTGGCATGAAGATCAGTAGCATGAACATCAGTGTCAAGCACATCAGTGGCATGAACATCAGTGTCAAGAACATCAGTGGCATGAACATCAGTGTCAAGAACATCAGTGGCATGAACCTCAGTGTCAGGCACATCAGTGTCTGAACAGAAACATTTTCGTGTGCAGCAGTGTTTTCTTCTTTCACATGGAGTAGTTGGCTCAAAAAATATATAAACTCTTCCCTGAATTATCTTTGTGTTAAAGTTGGGCTTCAAATGGATAAGATAATGTCTAGCTCGAATCTCATTAATGTTTGATAAAAGTGGCAAGTCCTGGTCACTCATATTGTTCCTGCAATACTGTACTTTAATACACAGTACAGATGCAGTATTAAACATACAGTATCTATGATGAAAATGAATTAAAACTTGAAGTCATAACTTCAGGACTACATTTAATGATTTTCATTGTTGATATCAGGAAACATTTTATTCCTCTTCAGCTGGTTGACGACACTTCAGTCCTGAAAAGGAGTTAAATATGTCAACATATATTTAACAATATCAGGTAAATCAGGTAATATATATAAAATCAGTTTACTTCAGGATTAAATTTATTTATTTATTTATATACAAGAAGGTACATTGGGTTATTAGAGTACAGAGACATTCTTGTAAAGCCACTAGCATGCATAGCGTTTCGGGCAGAAAATTTGTTTATACAGTACTGTATTAGTTAGGATAATTTAAACTTGGTTTCCCACTGTTGACGACAGGCAGTTTGTAAGATTTATCGAGGTCCAACTAGGCCAAATCTCACGACAGTCACCTATAACGACAGCAAGATCAAGGACGGCTTGTGTTTGTGCCTTTTTTTCGTCTGTTGTGGCACACAAAGCGCTCATGACTTGTGTTGACATCGGCTAGAATATTTTTATCGGCGCAGCTTTATCAAAGAGAGCGGAAATTTTGAGGGGGAAACTTAAATATTAATAATAAATAATAATAATAATAATAATATTAAATTTTTATTCAGGAAACGTACATACATAGTTGATTTACAAACATAATGTTGGATTTATATATAGAGCTAGTACATACAATACTTATATACAATACATACAATACGGAGAAGATTGTGCTGCCATCGTGATCCAGGAATTGCGTACTAAGATGAATTATTCAATCAGATTCAGATTCAGATTCAGATGTTTATTCAGGTAAGGTATATACATACAAGTGATGTTACATTAATGGATTGATATATAGATAGAGCTAGTACATACAATGCCTAAAGCCACTATTACGCAATGCGTTTCGGGCAAGAAAAACATTAATATCTAGAACTTAATACTAATTGAGCATAAAGAATAAAAGATGTTGAGAACAAATACAAATAAAGATAAAAAAAAAGGGGGAACATGACTGAAAAAGCAGCACAAATACAATAGGTTGACAAACAGTGTTGATTAAAAAAAAAGAAAAAAAAAGAAAATAACAGACATGGGTTGACAATAGAGGAGTGAGGTAGATTACAGGGAATTTATTAGGTAGTGTTTAGTTTTTATCTTAAACTGGTTGAGAGAGGTACAGTCTTTAACATGGTTGGGAAGGTCATTCCACATTCTGGGCCCCTTGATTTGCAGAGCATTTCTAGTTTGATTAAGACGTACTCTAGGAATATCAAAACTGTATTTATTTCTGGTGTGGTGCTCATGGGTTCTGTTACAACCTTCTATGAAGCTTTTAAGATCAGGATTGGCATTATAGTTTAGCGTTTTATATATGTATAATACACATGAGAGAATGTGCAGTGACTTAATATCTAACATATTAAGAGATTTGAGTAGGGGTACCGAGTGATGTCTGGGGCCAGAGTTGGATATTGTTCTAATAGCGGCTTTGTGTTGGGTAATTAGAGGACGTAAGTGATTTTGGGTAGTAGAACCCCAAGCACAAATACCATAGTTGAGATAAGGATAGATAAGGGAGTAATAGAGAGTCACCAGAGCAGGGCGTGGTACATAATATCTGATCTTAGAAAGAATGCCCACAGTTTTTGAAACTTTTTTTGATATATTTAGAATGTGTCCCTGGAAATTCAGCTTGTGGTCAATGAGAATGCCAAGGAATTTGCCATCTAATTTGTTACAAATTTGGGTATTGTTTATTTTGAGATTTATAAGACTAGAGGATTTATTGCCAAACAGAATATAGAAGGTTTTGTCAATGTTAAGGGTGAGTTTGTTGGCAGTTAGCCAAAGATGGACTTTATTTAGCTCAGTATTTACTGTGGCATTTAGAGCAAGAGGGTCAGGACTGGAGTAAATGAAGGTTGTGTCGTCAGCAAATAGAATTGGTTTGAGGTGTTGGGAGGCATTTGGAAGGTCATTAATGTAGATGAGAAAGAGGAGAGGGCCAAGTATGCTGCCCTGAGGAACACCAATGTTGATGGGTAGGGTGGGAGAAATTGTATTATTCACAGAAACATATTGGAGCCTGTCAGTAAGGTAGGACTCGAGGTATTGTAGGGAGTGTCCTCTGACTCCATAATGATGTAATTTAAGAAGAAGGTTTTGGTGGTTGACAGTATCAAAAGCTTTACGCAGGTCCACAAATAACCCAACAGGGAGCTCCTTTTTATCAAGAGCTGTATGAATCGAGTTAAGCATACTAATAAGTGCATCGTTAGTGCTTTTTTTGGGTCTGAAGCCATATTGGCAAGGGCTAAGTATATTGAGTTTGGCTAGATATGAGTAAAGCTGCTTGTATATAAGTTTTTCAAAAATTTTTGACAAGTTTGGCAATCGAAGCAAGTGACGTCAAGTCAGCTTATAGAGTGGGTACCAAATCATCTGGTACCAATAACAGAAAAAAAGTGTAAAATTAGATAGCTGCTCCCGCAAGACAAATCTTATCAGTGCTGCAGTCGCTAAGAAATCCACTGTTTATGTGAACGAATGCCTAACCAGATTCAGACAAAATCTCTTATTTAAACTACATGGAATCTGCAAAAGATCCACTGCAATCAAACATTGTTTTGTGCGAGATGGTAAAATAATAGTTAGGAAGACTGACACTGGAAAAACTTATGTCATAACCCACTGAGGCACACCTCACTTCTTTCCTGGATGACTGTGGGATAACAGCTGAATAACCAGAACATAAACTGTTAGTCTCATATACTACCCAAATGTACTAAGCTCTGCCTTTCCTTTCCAAAGGTTTTTTATTTTAGTCATCTTTGTTGTTGACATTTCTTGTTTTTTACTCTTAATTATATGTTCTTAGTTAATCCCCTTGTCACTAAACCTAGGACTTTTTATTACCCTGTTATAATTAAAGTAACTTGAAATTTGTTTCTTAGAAATCATTTATTGGAATTAATTAATAGTATAATTGTTTATATAAGCATCTACCTCAGTATCATTGTAAAATCTCCCACAAATATAATCTCACCCTGTTTATTTTTACACTTAGATTTATATTAGAGTAAATTTCTAGATTCACTTAGATTTATATGTCTTTTTTTTAATTATCTATTTGAGCTCACTTTGTTTTCTTAGGTTCATACTAATTATAGGATTTTAACTAATCATTACTAAGCTAATTATCTTTAAGATCATTTTACTTTATGATTATTATTTTTTATTTTACATTTATATGTAAAATATGAAGTTGACCAACTTCATTGATTTTTTGTTTTTCTTCTTTTATCTAACTTCTGTGTCCTTCCTGGCTATCTACTGGATCTTTATTTTACTTCTAATTTGTTACTATTTTATGTGTATTTGCTAATATTCTTGTGTTTTGCTATAATTACTTTGTTTTTACAGCAGATTTAGTATTTATCTATTTCTGTAATTGTTTGTATTATTGTATCGTGATCCCTCTGCATCTCTATGCACACTGATATTGATCCTGATCAAAATCTTCTGTCTCATATCTACACCAACCAACACATTGATCATCATTATTGCAAGTATTACACAGCACACCAGGCAAAAAACAAACTCCAAAATAGCACCTGCTTATCTGTTTACAACCAAAATGTTAGATCACTTGGTAAACATTTTGACGATATAAATGCATTACTCACAGCACTAGGTACTAACTTATCGTTCATTATTTTAACAGAAACTTGGCTAAATAAAGACTATACCCAACTCTACAACTTAGCTGGTTATAAAGCCATTCACAACTGTAGGCCTAATAAAAAAGGTGGCGGCACAGCTATATATTACCGAGATACATTTATCTGCAACAGTGTCATTAGTGATAGAGATGACTACTGTGAATATACTTTTGCTCAGTCTACAATTAAATCCCTTAAATCCTCCTTGACTATTGGAGCCATCTATAGATTTCCCAATACTAATATAGCTTCATTCTCAGACAACCTAAGGAATCTCATTATAAACAACAATCTCAACAAAAACCACATCATTCTGGGAGAAGATTTTAATATTGACCTGGGTCAACAAAATTGCTCTCAAGTTGACTATTTCCTTAACAGCATGAACTCCTGTATGCTAATCCCCACAATCACCAAACCTACCCGAGTCACTCAAACATCAGCCACTACCTTGGACCACATATGGACTAGCATAACAGCTCCCCTTGTATCTGGTATAATCTACGACAGAACAACTGACCACTATCCTACCTTTCTCATAGCGAACATGGACATAACACCACCAAAAAGCAAGAAACTTACTTTCAGGTTACAGTGAATCAGCTTTAGGCAATCTTACAAATGCACTTTACAATATTAACTGGTTAGTTAGTTTAGTTCATTTATTATACACCCCATACCCATCTTGTGGGCGGTAGTGGAAAGGGTTACAGAGGCACATAATGGGCTCAGGGACTGAACCCCACAATTCATTTAGCTAAGCAAGTTACAAAATTGAAAATAAATCATCACATCAACAATGGGTTCGAAATCGACCTCAAGTACAGGTTCTAAATTAAGCAACTGACATATGTGGAGAGCTAGTGTCACAATTGATATGTAAATAAAATAATAAATAAAATAAAATAAAATGTTTATTTAGGTAAGGTACATACATACAAGAAATTTTTACAAAGATTGGTTGACTTATAGGTAGAGCTAGTACATACAATGCCTAAAGCCACTATTACGCAAAGCGTTTCGGGCATGAAAAACTTGATGTCCTGCACACCGCCCCCCATCCAGTGGGCAGCGGTGGATAGGTTACAATCACTTAGTTACTACCTACAGTTACCAAACTGGGGATATTTGGCTAAAATTTCTGGTAGCAGATCATTTTTAATGAAATATTGACACATCGCTGGAACATTGGTTATAGAATTGTCTCTAAATTCACGTATCTTTTCGCACTCCATCACATAGTGACGGAGGGTGTGCGAATAATTTTGTTGACACAGTTTACATTTGGTCAGGTCTACATCAGCAGATAATGAGCGCACGGTACTTATAGATAGAACTAAGGAAAAGTAAAATCGACACCAGTAATTCCATCTATCATCATATTATCATGCAAGAAGAGCCACACATCTATGGATCATCCAATAGGTAAATATCTGTGCTTGGGGTCCTATTACCCAAAATCATCTACGTCCTCTAATTACTCAACACAAATCTGCTATTAGAACTTTGCACCAGTTTTTCAGCCCCGCTCCTGTGCCATGTAAATCCACTACGGGCTCACCATAGCCCGTGCTGCTTGGAACTTTTTGTTCCCAGTTGCTGAATCAATAACAACAACATGGTAAATTTGTCTTTGAAAATAAGGAGTGTCTTGTGAAACGCTTCCATTAGGCATCAGACCATAAATATAGCGTGAAAATGAACTTTGGCGAGTTAACTATTCAACTTCCCTCGACATTGAAGAAAAACATAAGAAATATTAAGATTCGTGTCAGAATCATTAATCTTACCCTTTCGGTGATTTCTGGTAGCAGATCATTTTGAATAAAATATTGACACATCGCTGGAACATTGGTTACAGAATTGTCTCTAAATTCACGTATCTTTTCGCACTCCATCCCATAGTGACGGAGAGTGTGCGAATAATTTTGTTGACACAGTTTACTAATTATGAAATTATTATGATAATTATTATAATAATTATTATTGTTGTAATTAATAATTATTGCTCTTCCTTGTGCTGGGTCATGAAGGAAGCGAGCCTCGGGTGAAATGGGCTGTGACGATCTCTGTCTGGAACCCGTAGGTGCAGGGCCGGGACGTCCACCTCCTGGGATGGGGGGGTTGTACCTATTTGTGCTTGCGGGGGTTGAGCTCTGGCTCTTTGGTTCCGCCTCTCAACGGTCAATCAACTGTTGTGCAGATTCCTGAGCCTACTGGGCTCTATCATATCTCAAGGAGCATATAATCTCTAAGAGATTATATGTTCCTTGATGGCGCCCTGTTGCTTATGCATTGTTAATCGCCTGGAAAGAGACGTTGTTGTCTTGCCTATATACTGAGTTCTTTGGGGCTTACAGTCCCCAAGTGGGCATTTGAAGGCATAGACGACGTTGGTCTCCTTCAAGGCGTTCTGCTTTGTGTCTGGAGAGTTTTTCATGAGTAGATTGGCCGTTTTTTTGGTTTTATAGTAAAAAAAACCAGTCCAACTTATTCATGGAAAAACTCTCCAGACACAAAGCAGAACGCCTTAAAGGAGACCAACGTCGTCTATGCCTTCAAATGCCCACTTGGGGACTGTAAGCCCCAAAGAACTCAGTATATAGGCAAGACAACAACATCTCTTTCTAGGCGATTAACAATACATAAGCAACAGGGCGCCATCAAGGAACATATAATCTCTTCTCACAACCAGACCATCACCAGAGAAGTCTTAACAAACGACACAGAAAATCATCGATACTCGACATCTGCGAGGCACTACACATCAAAAAGTCAACACCAGTAATCAACAGCCAATTAATGTACAAGTACAATTTACCCACTTCAAGACTTCGAACCAATATAGAAGCATCAAGAGGAACCATCATGGGCCAATAGGCCTTCTGCAGTTACTTCAATTCTTATGTTTTTATACCCATTGGTTCCTGTTCTATCATGTGTAAATGTCAATCATCTCACCCCAAAACCTTTGTACCATATCACCTCACCCAAATGCGAGTATAAGTATGGATGTATTTTGCGTGTTTACAGGTTACAGTTGTATGTAAACTAAAGTCTTTGAAAATGTAATAAGTTATTACGAAACGCGTTCAGGCGTCAGACTAGAAATAAAAATGAATTTTGGAGAATTGATTTTTCAATTACTATCGACAGCGAAAAGAAATATAAGAAATATTGAGAAAATTCGTGTTAGAATTATTAATCTTACCTTTTTGGCCATATTCAATAACATATGTTTACAACGAAGACTGCTAGCAATATATATATATATATATATATATATATATATATATATATATATATATATATATATATATATATATATATATATATATATATATATATATATATATATATATATATATATTATTAAATATGACCGAAAAAGTAAGATTAATAATTCTAACACGAATTTTCTCAATCTTTCGTATATTTCTTTTCACTGTTGGAGGTAATTCAAAAATCAATTCTCCAAAATTCATTTTTATTTCTAGTCTGACGCGACACTTGAGCGCGTTTCGCAAAACTTATTACATTTTCAAAGACTTTACACATACACAACTGAATAGAACTTACATATCTCTGATTTGTTTATATCTACATTTGAGTGAGGTGGATGGGGTGAGGTGGTATTTAATAGGGTATTAATTTCATCAACACAAGACAGAACACGAAACAATGGGTATTGAAATGGAAGTGATTGTAGAAAGCCTATTGGTCCATATTTCTTGATGCTTCTATATTGGAGCGGAGTCTTGAGGTGGGTAGAATATAGTTGTGCATTAATTGGCTGTTGATTGCTGGTGTTGACTTCTTAATGTGCAGTGCCTCGCAAACGTCAAGCCGTCTGCTATCGCTGTATCTATCGATGATTTCTGTGTTGTTTACTAGGATTTCTAGGATTACTAGAAATGTAGGTAGTTACTAGATTTTGTAGGTAGTGATCATGTCTCCCCTTACTCTTCTGCCTTCTAGTGTCGCGAGGTGCATTTCCCGCAGCCTTTCCTCGTAACTCATGCCTCTTAGTTTTGGGACTAGCCTAGGGCGGCCTCTTGAGCTATTTCCAACTTCGTCTTGTGCTTGACAAGGTACGGGCTCCATGCTGGGACCGCATACTCCAGGATTGGTCTTACATATGTGGTATACAAAGTTCTGAATGATTCCTTACGCAGGTTCCTGAAGGCAGTTCTGATGTTAGCCAGCCTCGCATACGCCGCAGATGTTATTCTTTTTATGTGGGCTTCAGGAGAAAGGTGTGTATGTGTGCGTATTCCTTGGTAGTTAGTAGTTAGGGTAGTAAGTGAAGTGTGTACACGGAGTGTATATAGTAATACAGGCAGCAGTAAGAATGGCGCGCGGGTGCAAGTGCATAATGATATACTGATCCAATAATCAAATATACTTCCTGAGCCCACTGCGACCTAGCGAGCGAGGCCACCATCAATGACCTTATCATAAGAACATCTATATATAAATCATTGAGCTCAGCTTGAGTGAAGGATTAAAGGGCAAATAACAGAGGAGGCGTTGTCTCGTAACCCATTAATATCCTATAGCACCCTTATGGTGGTCAATGACCCCTACCGGGACTTACAGATTTACATTCCCCAGGCAGTATATAATGGCAGTCTTCCTTGGCCAGCATGCAGGATTTTGGCTGCCTTGACGACTGAATCAATCCTTATAAATATATAATTAAACCATCAGTGTTTAGCGGCCCAACCTGTGCCAGATAGATCAATTGCTAGGCGGCTCACATGGCCGGTTGCAATTAACCGCATATTGCCCCCACGAAAACGGTATAAATGTAGGTTGGACGAGGGAGTATAAATAGAATGGAGATACATGGGTGGCGGGGCAGAGGCTCCCTCCTCCCCCCATCTGGGCCGCATTAGGACTTGCGCAGCCAAACTCATACCATGGAAACTATAACGCCCGTTTCTCCATGAATTTCCATTGACAGGTGAGTCCCCTTTGCGAGTGAGCCTTCCCCAGCGGCGTGGGAACCCCCCTCGGAGACCCAGAGCCCCGATTGAGGCCTCGGTCGGGTTCATGGGTGGGTTTTTAGGCAAAATTTCATGTGAAGTTGGAGAAAAATTCATGGGGCTCGCAGAAGGCATATTGATTTACCGAGAGCAAGTCTGAGAGGAGCCGATGCACTCGCTGTATTTCTGTAATTAGTGATTTTCTCGCCCTCTGCCAGGCGCTTTGTGTGCAGAGGTTCTGTAATTTGGAACACAGTCCGCGCAAGTTTCTCCAAAAGACTGTTAACATTATTTTCATTAACATTTTAGGAAGTTCACACAAAATGAGATCATGTTTTGCCGAGTCGTACCAACGCTTCGGATATGCATCTGTTTTGGTAAACAGTGCAGGACTCGGAATACGCCCATTATCGCGGTTAGTAATACATTAAAGCAATATTTAACTCTAAAATATCATCAAGTGTTCATAGCAATCCCACAAGTCAATATTTTTAGTCGTCGCTATTTTTTGGCGTTAGTTTCATCTTTGTTTATTTTACAGGTGTTGGCAGCCCTGGGATCATCGGGCGGTTGTGCATCAAAATGACAGAGTTCGGAACCACGCCATTTGAAGGTTGCTTTTTTGACAAAATGTTCTTTTAGTCACTTAAGAAATGTGGGGTTCAGTCCCTGAGCCCATTATGTGCCTCTGTAACCCTTTCCACTACCGCCCACAAGATGGGTATGGGGTGCATAATAAATGAACTAAACTAACTAGTCACTAAGGCAGAGCTGTCTCCCCTCAAACTGTCCATTAACAAAATAAAGTTGTGTCACCTAGGTCTATTTTAAACCTTTAATCATTTTTGACATATGAACGAATTAGAACATTGAGGAAAATGTTCTATATTGAATGAATTCAGCAATTGTCACACATTTTTATTTTATGAAAATTACATGACAGATTCAATTGTCTAAATAATGTAAATAAACTATGACATTTATATATATATATGTACAATTTTGTTTTCATACAGTAAATAGATTTTCATATATTTATAACACAAGACTGGTTTTTAGATGCTGTATATGGTTGTTCTGATAACTATAAAAGAAATTAATTATCTGGGTTTATATGTATATCCTTAGTACTTAACACATTAATAAGTGTATGGTACATAGAGCAGAATGGAGTAAGAGCAAGGCCTCTAGATACTCTCATTATCATTGTGCATAATAGTAGTGCAGTAGTAGTAATAATAACTATTATTTAATATTATATATACTCATATAATACTAGTAACTAGTAAGTTACTAGTTACTACAAGTCAAGTCAAGAACATCATGACATGATGTTCCATACGGAAGTTATTTGTGTTATCAGTTAGCTTGGACTATGGTGAATAACAAATGTTTTGTTCTTTATGATAAGAGATTATAGTGTATAACATTAGCTCTTATTCATTGAATAAAAGAAAGGCAAAAATGGATTTGACATTTATCTAAATGTTCCAGCTTTTATTTTTTATTTATGTACAGTATTGTATTTATTTTTCAAAAGTTACGTACATTATGTTACTACTTCGAACTATTCTTTTGGTAATGATATTATAGAGCGATATTATTTATTTATATTGCTATTGTGTTATTAAAATAATTTGTGTTTTTATTTATACAGTACAGTATAGTTAAATTGAAAATCACCATTCCCCATACAGTTTTATATCCCATTCTCATATGGGATGCATACTAAATGAACTAAACTAAAAATTCTTGCAGTTGTATTATATTACAGTATTTTGAAAAATGCTTTGATATGACACTATATATTTCATTATAGAGAACTCTAAATAGTTTAATGGGCAATGTTACATGTACTTCTGACTTCTCATTTTTTGTTTCTCATTGTTCTTTGCCTTCCCAGTCCAGCCTGTTACCTAGCTTCTATTTGCCTCCTTCACTTCTCGGAGGAGTGCTTTTCACTTAAGTCTCGACTTAATGGTGGTCCACAATCAACCCAAACATTGTCACTTTTCCAGTTTCTAATGCATGGCTTTAGTGCATATTTTTATTTGTCACATTACAATGTCTTTTACTTTTTTCCCCCTTTGATATTTAATTTTCACTTTGCTCTCTCTCTCTCTCTCTCTCACACTCACTCACTCACTCACTCACTCACTCACTCTCTCTCTCACTCTCTCTCACTCTCACTCACTCACTCTCACTCACTCTCACTCTCTCTCTCTCTCTCACTCACTCTCACTCTCTCTCTCTCTCACTCACTCACTCTCACTCTCACTCTCACTCACTCACTCACACACTCACACTCTCTCACACTCACTCACTCACAGTTGAACTATTGATCCTCCCCAGAATGTAACCCCACAACATGCTGACTAACTCTTAACTGCCTGTTACCTAGTAGTAAATAGGTACCTGAGAGTTAGTCAGCTGTCATGGGCTACTTCCTGGGGGTGGAGGCCTGGTCGAGGACCGGGCCACGGTGACACTAAGCCCCGAAATCATCTCAAGATAACTCTTGGGTAACTTTTTACTGCTACGTGAATTAGGTGAAATGTGCCCAACCAGTTCTGTCCCACCCAGGGTTCGAACCCGGAATTTCCGATTACAAGTCAAGAACAAATGCATCTGTACTACTGAGACCTTCAATTAATTAATTAATTAATGATTAATGCTCCTCAGTCTTGGCCTTTTTCACTGGTTTGGTTACTATTAAGATGTTAGCAACATAAATGGCACAATCTGTTAAAGTCTTTAAAAATTGCCAAATGATTTATGGCAAATGTTTTTTTAAATCATTATCATATGATATGTTATCATGACATGATGTCCTTATCAAACCATAATATATCGTTATATAGAAGGATATATAATTGTTATGACAAGACATTGTCAACATAGCATGTCATTATCATGTAATATATCATAATTATCATTTTTGTTAAGAGTAAGTTACTATCAGTTGCTTTGTTGATCTGTTTCTTATTATGATATGTCATTTTCACCTATGTATTATAATTTGCTTGTGGCTCTCCTAGCAGATTTGATCCTGGGCAGCCAGTTCCTTCCTGCACTAGCTACTATTGACAACGAGAATGGAGAGCCAGCAGCTAGAGTAGGCGTGCTTCAGTGTCGACGTTGTGCAGCCAGCTTCTTGCAGGCAAGTTCTTCAGTGTTGCTGATTTTCTTGAAGTGAGCTTCAACTGTTGTACCAGCGTTGATATCGTGACGAATAATAAATGATATAGATTTGTATATTTAAACTGTGATTACATTAAATTCCTGGATATTCTTAACTCTTTTATCCTGTGCTTTAATGGTTTCTTTGGACTTTGTCTCAGTACTTGTGTATTGTACTGTATAGGTGTTTGTGGTAGGCATGCATGTTAGTTTAGTTTACAGTAGTTCATTTATTATGCACCCCATACCCATCTTGTGGGCAGTAGTGGAAAGGGTTACAGAGGCACATAATGGGCTGAGGGACTGAACCCCCACAATTCATTTAGCTAAGCAAGTTAAAATTTTGATGAGCTAGTTACAAAATTCAGTACGAGTCATCACATCAACAATGGGTTTGAGATCGACAACAAGTACAATTTCTAAATTAAGCAATTGACATTCGTATGTGGAGAGCTAATGTCACACTTGATATGTTTGTCCTGCACAACCCCCCCCCCCATCCAGTGGGCAGCAGTGGATAGGTTACAATCACTTAGTTACTACCTACAGTTAGCAAACTGGGGATATTTGGCTAAAATTTCTGGTAGCAGAGCATTTTGAATGAAATATTTACACATCGTTGGAACATTGGTTATAGAATTGTCTCTGAATTCGCGTATCTTTTCGCACTCCATCACATAGTGACGGAGGGTGTGCGAATAATTTTGTTGACACAGTTTACATTTGGTCAGGTCTACATTGACAGATAATGAGAATTCCCAGAGATACTTGTAACCGAGTCTAAGCCGAGCAGTAGTAACATCTAGAAGTCTGCTAATTTTATTGGATGAACCATAGATGTGTGGCTCCTCTTGAATGATAGTATGATGATAGATGGAATTACTGGTGTCGATTTCACTTTGCCTCAGATCTACAAGATCTTGTTGAAGGTCTCAGTGTACTGCTGCTCTCAGATTGCTCATTGACAATCCAAGGTTACACTCAACGGCTCCTTTATAGGCAGATTCTTTGGCTAACATATCAGCTCTATCATGCATTCGGAGCCCAACATGAGATGGAGACCACATGAAATGGACTTTTGTTACCATCCTTAATAATTTTGTTTTATTTGTGTCTAGCTTCGGACACGAGCATATTACAGTTATGTCTTAAAGAGTTGAGAGCAATTAAGGATGATTTGTTTTGATTTGATGATCATTTGTTTTGAAATTCTTTTAAGCATTTCTTCATCCACAAATTTAAATGCAATTCTGAACCTGATCAGAGTAGCCTAGGTTCCTTTTACTATGCATTTTACATGGTCCTCTGGTGATACTTTACTATCCAATACCACACCTAGATCTCTCTCTCCTCGTCTGAAGTTTTTAGCATCTTTTAAAATAATTTGTCGGATGAATGTGGCCTGGTTTCACTTATCCACATTCCATTAAGTGGCATTTATCCTCATTGAATTCCATGTACTATGTGTTGCTCCATGTGCTTATTTTGTGTAGGTCATTTTGATGTGTATCTAAGTAAGTAGAAATTATTTACGTACCTTATCTTTCCCAGTAGTATTCCATCATCTGCAAATATGATCATATAACTGTATTCCTTCAGGTGGATCATGTATAGAGATAGTGAACATTATTGGTGCTAGTACTGACCTTTGCATAATTCTACTAGTTGCATTTCTCCAATCTGGTTCGCTGCCTCTGATCACCTATCTCAAGAAGCGATTGAGTGGCATGATAAGAAAGAAACTTTACACTCTCAAAGCCTTATTTTATGATACTCTTGCGGACCGTCCTTGGAGGGCAGTTGCTTTCTCACCCAATGAAAATTGGAAATGGAATCATGGCGAAAATGCCGATAGATTTTATTGTGCCTATTATTTATTCGTCATCCGTCTTTCTGCAGGTCCGCGAGGCATTGTCTCACTACCGGTTACACGTGTTTGAGACGCACAAGGAGCACTTTACAGTGGTGGTTGGGGGTGCTTGTCCTTTGCCAGGGTGTGCCCTTGGAGGCGACAAGATCCCTACTATACACTTCCATTGTGCATATTGCTGTTTTACATCTACAGAGGTAAAATTTAATGTTAGACAATTATATAAAGTGCTGCATCATTGAATAAATATAAGTGTTTTGTAATAAAAATGAAGGATATTGATATACACATTAGTTTCATATATTCATTAGAGAACTTCAAATATCTTACAGGTATTTAATGGCCTAATTTGTCATGACCTAATGTCTTTATGAAGAGAAATGCCAAGGTGAGGCTAGACTTTATTTGGAGATTAATGTTTTGTCTATGTGGGCTTTATCACATATAGCAGAGCTTATGAGCATAGGTTTGTGGCTTGTAAATAACACCAACAACACTTGCATCACCCTTCAGAACAGGAGAATTGCCGCGTCAAATTTAAAGATGCTAAACTTGTTGCAGCACCAAAGGAGAAAATAATATTAGATGATATTGTATCAAATCTGCAGCCATTAAGCACTGCAATACCATTGAACAGAATGTAGGAAAATTTGACTATACTTCACCACTCGTTAAATTAATACCTAAAATACTATAAATTGTGACCTGTACAATCTCACACCTCGTCCCACTCATGTACCTGACATCACCATGTCTTGATGTCCCTGGCCTCATCCTACAATCATGTCCTTGTCCTCACCCCTGCCCTCATGTCCTTGTCCTCACCCCTGCCCTCATGTCCTTGTCCTCACCCCTGCCCTCATGTCCTTGTCCTCACCCCTGCCCTCATGTCCTTGTCCTCACCCCTGCCCTCATGTCCTTGTCTTCACCCCTGTCCTTGTCCTCACCCCTGCCCTCATGTCCTTATCTTCACCCCTGCCCTCATGTCCTTGTCTTCACCCCTGCCCTCGTGTCCTTGTCTTCACCCCTGCCCTCATGTCCTTGTCTTCACCCCTGCCCTCATGTCCTTGTCCTCACCCCTGCCCTCATGTCCTTGTCCTCACCCCTGTCCTTGTCCTCACCCCTGCCCTCATGTCTTTGTCCTCACCCCTGCCCTCATGTCCTTGTCCTCACCCCTGCCCTCATGTCCTTGTCCTCATTCCTGCCCTCATGTCCTTGTCCTCACCCCTGCCCTCATGTCCTTGTCCTCACCCCTGTCCTCATGTCCTTGTCCTCACCCCTGCCCTCATGTCCTTGTCTTCACCCCTGCCCTCATGTCCTTGTCCTCACCCCTGCCCCTCATGTCCTTGTCCTCACCCCTGCCCTCATGTCCTTGTCCTCACCCCTGCCCCTCATGTCCTTGTCCTCACCCCTGCCCTCATGTCCTTGTCCTCACCCCTGCCCTCATGTCCTTGTCTTCACCCCTGCCCTCATGTCCTTGTCCTCACCCCTGCCCCTCATGTTCTTGTCTTCACCCCTGCCCTCATGTCCTTGTCTTCACCCTTGCCCTCATGTCCTTGTCTTCACCCCTGCCCTCATGTCCTTGTCCTCACCCCTGCCCCTCATGTCCTTGTCCTCACCCCTGCCCTCATGTCCTTGTCCTCACCCCTGCCCCTCATGTCCTTGTTCTCACCCCTGCCCTCATGTCCTTGTCCTCACCCCTGCCCTCATGTCCTTGTCTTCACCCCTGCCCTCATGTCCTTGTCCTCACCCCTGCCCCTCATGTTCTTGTCTTCACCCCTGCCCTCAGGTCCTTGTCTTCACCCTTGCCCTCATGTCCTTGTCTTCACCCTTGCCCTCATGTCCTTGTCCTCACCCTTGACCTTGCTCTGCTCTCACATTCCTGACCTCTTTTCACCCTCACCTCCCTGACCTTACCCCACCTTCATCTTGACCTCACCCCCAACCTTCACCTCCCTGACTTCACTTCCACCTACACCTTCCTGACATCACCCCCACCTACACCTCCCTGACTTCACCCCCACCTACACCTCCCTGACTTCACTTCCACCTACACCTTCCTGACATCACCCCCACCTACACCTCCCTGACTTCACCCCCACCTACACCTCCCTGACTTCACTTCCACCTACACCTTCCTGACATCACCCCCACCTACACCTCCCTGACCTCACCCCCACCTACACCTTCCTGACTTCACTTCCACCTACACCTTCCTGACATCACCCCCACCTACACCTTCCTGACATCACCCCCACCTACACCTCCCTGACTTCACCCCCACCTACACCTTCCTGACATCACCCCCACCTACACCTTCCTGACTTCACCCCCACCTACACCTTCCTGACATCACCCCCACCTACACCTCCCTGACTTCACCCCCACCTACACCTCCCTGACATCACCCCCACCTACACCTCCCTGACTTCACCCCCACCTACACCTCCCTGACTTCTCTTCTGTTATTGGTTAGATTTGATTAAGCCCTACACAAAATATTATCTTCAATTAAAGCCAACTCTCAGCCTGGTGTTTCTCTGCATCATGGTCAACACTTTCTGCACACTATATATTTTCTTGACATCATTCAATATGTAAAAACAAGAATCTGTATTTAAAATTATGCATTGAAAGGGAAAACAATTCATTTAACTGTAAGAAATACGGCAAAAATAATTGCACGTGCATTAGCGTTAGTTTAGTTTATAATTCCATTCCTGCTATATTTGATTACCATAGATTATGGACCTTCCACTGCACATGGAGAGACGCCATTTAGCCTTCTACCGGGAAGTGAGCTTAGTTCTTCGTGGAGATGACATACAGCGCACCAAGGTCTTACTATAACTTCTGTAACCACTGTAATATATTTTGTTTGCTGTAGTGATCATTGTTTGTGTATTTGCAGTGATTTTAACACTTTCGCGCTATCTGGACGCGCCGGCGCGTCCCGTTTCGTCTAACGCTAACGCATAGTGGACATAAAGTTGAGTCCTCTTTTAAAATATTTGTATAAAATTCAATTTTTATCCGATTTACTTTGGGTTTGTTTCAAACTGCGCGCTATGAGGCTCTCTTTCTCACCACTAGGCTGCATGGTACAATAAGTTCATGAAAGGTGTGGATAACTTCGATCAAATGGTATTTTGTCCCAAACGGGTTGCAGGTGGGTGACTTTAGCCGTTTATACTGGTAATGCTTCCCCCATATCATGTATTATATGCATATGTCTGTTTAGGGAATTTTATTCCGATCAATATACAACCAAAAATAACTGTGTGCAACAAGTATAAACTTGACAAACATAACAAAAGTAAAAACATTTCGTGTGTGTTTGACGCTCACTGATATGTTCCAGCGTTGTTTTATATTTGGCGCTATTCTAACTTACGCTTTGTTGATATTTTTTACCTATGGGCACATAGAACATTCTATTGCGAACACATTGACACAAAAATGAATGACGTACATAGAAAATTAATGTCATGAGAGTGAAATAAGTATAAACTTTCAAAGCGCCGTGCGTCGTCCCGTCACCGATACCGGGTAACAATTTCACCACTTCCCACACTCTTGCGGGCGGGCCGCATCATTATTCTACGCTTATATTCATATCACCGTGTTGGGAATTTCATTGCGAGTCCATTGATACCAAAATTAACGCTGTAGAATAAGTGTGGAGGTGATTACAATCCCAAGAGTAAAAACATTTTGTTGCTGATGGGCGCTCACGGCGAGTCATCTTCGTAGTTATTTATTTGGTGCTGGTATCCCTATACGTTTCGTGACTTTTTTTACTGATGTTCTTCTAGAGAATTTTATTGCGAACACGTTGGTACCAAAATGAAATACGTAGCATGAGAACTAAGGTCAGAAGAGTAAAAAGAGTATACACATTTTTGTTTTTACGCTTAAGCCATAAAAACGCTGCGCGCACATTCGGTTGGCTGAGTGACCTTTGCGGAAAGCGCGAAAGTGTTAAATACTTACAAGTGCATGTTATATTTTTAAATTATTTATTTGTCATATTACTCTTGTGTGCACTGTGCAAAGCCATAAATTGTCAGTCGTGTGTGTCTTATACATACATAATACATACATACAATAGAAAGCTTAAGAAGTGACGTATTTATTGACATATTTATTGACGTGCATTTCTGGAGAGTAGGTGAGGTGCAAGACAGCTGGGTAAAGTTAGAAATGTTAGCCTTGTGCTAGGTTAAGTAAACGTTTGCTTATGGTTTATCTGTGGCTGGTCATGGGAGTTCGGCTTTTGCAGCTTGGCTATTGCCTAAGTTGATGATGTCTTGATCAGTGAGAGTATTGCTGGTAGCTGCCCAGATAGCAAGAAAAAGTGCAAAAATTGTTCAGGGAATCAGGAATGGTGTGAGGAGAAGGTTTGAGATGCCCAGCAAATTTACGGTGTATAGTAAGTCAGGAGAAAGGAGGCTTTTAGAGAACGTTTATCTGTAGATTAGATATTTTATGTGAAGGAAATATGAAATTGAATGAGTGTGTAATAGTTGAAAGTAAATCCAAAGAAAAGATGGACACTAATTTGCAGAAGGTAAAAAGAGGGAAAGGGAGGATTTTATTCTTGGAAGATAAGCAGACCAACTCTGGTGAGGTGTAAGATTGCAATGCCCAATGAAATATTGAATCAGCAACTGTGTAAATGTGAAAGGGGGTTAGAGAGCAAGTTGTGAATGTGACCGAATTCTTCAGATGGATAGTGAAAGGGACAAATATTTCCATGGTTGTAAAGCATGTATACTCCTGCTGGCCCTGATATAGACAAGTGAAACATGGATATAGAATGTACTGTAAATCAAGAATTCATATTTTTTTAATAAATTATATAATTGAAAAATGCATGTGATATTAGTAAAATGGAGAAAATAAATACTATGGAAATGTATGGTGGATGGGATCTTATATAGGCCTGTTGGAGTGCTCCCTAATTCTTATGTTCGAACATTAAGCAGTCTCCGTGGGGTAGTGGTAAGACGCTCGCCTGGCGTTCTGCGAGCGGTTTATCCTGGGTTCGTATCCTGGCCGGGAAGGATTTACTGGGCTCAAATTCTTAACTGTAGCCTCTGTTTAACCCAACAGTAAAATGGATACCTGGTTGTTAAAACGATTCTTCGTGGGGATCGTATTCCAGAGAACATAAGATAAAGAACTTGCCCGAAATGCTACGCATACTAGTGGCTGTACAAGAATATAACAACTCTTGTATATATATATATATATGCAAAAAAAATTAACAAAAGTTGGAAGCACAAGGAGACAGTGACTGATATAAAGCCAGCATTGTGTTCAAGGAAATTGACGAAGTATTGTTCATGCATGGAAAAGTCTCTTATGATCATAAGAGAGCTGGAAATATGTCCTTGGATTTATTTTTTTAAATTTTGCTGCTTCAACCGAGAATATCTGGGAAAAATGATCTTGGGCATAGATATACTGTAAAGAGAGAGAGAGAGAGGTAATTCTTTTGAGGCTGATTCAATTAAGGTGAATGGGGTTTCTCTTGAAACTTTGCCTGAGTGCAGGGTGTCTGTTCCTTTATGCTACACTTCATAATGTGGTTGTCAGTCACTTGCATTTCTGAATTTAGCTTTCTGCTTTAGCTATGTTCGGAATTATATTCTCAGATGCTGATTCTTGGAAGACAGAGGGACCCAGAGTTGTCTAATATGGGTTTTTGGGATATGTTGATGTGGCCTGGCTCCTCTCTGGTTGGCTCACAACCTTGGCAGTACCTTTTTTTTGGTAAAGTCTTTGGTGATGTGCTTCATTTGCACACACATACAGTGTCCATCCAGTGTTACAGCAAGATGCTTTGCGAGAGATTGTAGGCAGCCTTGTATTTTTTGTCTGCTAGTGTGTTGTTGGGCTAAGTGAGCACACAGCCATTGTCCTCACTTAAATTTTCTTTGAGTATTAGTTCCCCTTTGCACCAACTTTCCAACACCTGATTGGTTAATGCAGTGCCTTTTGTTTCTTGTCATATTTCCTTCTATAGTTTCTTATTAAGATCAGCTCTACAATATTTTCTTGTAACTCATTCCACTTGCTTGCAGTTCTTACAATAAAGAAGCATCCCTGACAGCCCATCAGCCTCTCCTACCTTCCTGTGTGTTCCATGGTCCTATTATTTTGATTTTGAATATCACTCTTTGTCTATTCTGCCAATTTCCTTAACTATCTTATACATTGTTAAATATCCTCCTCTTTCTTCATTCCTCCTTCCTTCCTCTTTTTTTTTTCATTCCTCCTTCCCTCCTTCTCTAGAGCTCTTAACAAACTCAACTAGTATGGGTTGAGAAGTTGTCTCCAACCATCTTCATTTCAGGTCGGGGTTCTGGTCTAAGGCATTGCGGTGTGCTCACACAACCCATCCTCCTGAAATGATAGTACTTATAATTACTATTTGGTCCAAAATACCAATATGTAGTGATGGACCACCATTAAACCAATTCTTGTACTTTTAATTTTATATAGTCCAGAAAAAATAAAGCTAAAACCAAATTTAAATATTCCTAGGCCTAATATAGTGCATATATGTACCATATTAGGCCTAAGATAGCATGAATTAGGACTAGAATTTATAGGCAAGGTTAGGTTAGGTTTGGTCTTATGGTTATGTTGCAGTTAAAAAAGTATCTAGTTTGTCTAATTTTAATAATACAAATGTCAACTTTCTGGAGGCCCATCACTACAGTATGATACTTTCGACAAGTAGTTACTATAAGTACAGTACCGTACTTTCATTTTAATTAAGAGGGTGTGGTGGCTCAGATCGGTCAGGGAGATGGCAGCAGTGTGGATGTAGTTATGGCACATTCCTCGCATGCTCGACTATCTTGCTCCATTCGGACAGCACCCTGTTGGTGCACTGTCTCAATCGAATGAGAGAGGGGAGGGTTTTTTCCAGTCTTCTCTTGATGTGCCACTGTGTAGCCTTGGGTCATCTGTCTTCTCTCTGATTACTCTTCTTGTTCTAACACCTGGATAGTTTGGGTCCAGTTCCATCATGTTCTGGATATTTTTTGCTCTGATTCCCCTTCATGCTCTGGATTGTTTGGCTTCGGTTCCCTTCATGCTCTGGATTGTTTGGCTTCGGTTCCCTTCATGCTCTGGATTGTTTGGCTTCGGTTCCCTTCATGCTCTGGATTCCTCTGCTTCATGAAAAGTAACTTTCTTACTTTGTTCAGATATTTTAGCTAACCCCATGGTGAAATTTTTCTGGTAGTGACCAAGGGCAAGCCTTGTTCAGAAACAGGGCATCGAGTGGTATGAAGCACTTCTTTCATAGTGACCACTCGGTTTCTCCTGCCTTTAAAATTTCTATCTTCAGAACTTGCTAGGCCTGGGATTTAAGTGGGGGCTGCTAATTCACTTAGATATTTCTTATAGAAGATGCTGCCATCTGGTGGCGGTCAGGTGGCAGGTACCCAGAAAGTTCAACAACTTTCAGTTTGGACAATTGGTTGTCCCCATGACCCCAATTATTGTAAATGTGAAGTTTACTTTTCTTGTGCTCTTGAGTTTATGCATCATAAGTATTGTTATGGATTTTTCAATGTAACATGCAGTACAGTTGAAACAAATTGCTAAATTTTAAATAATAAATTACAGATTTATTTTGAATTATCGAAGCACTACTATTACTGAATATGCTAATACTGTACTGTACTGTATATTGTGTTACTATTGTTGATTATTATTTACAGTACTTTTGTTATTTAAAACACCATATCAATGTGCTGTTGGAACATTTTCATCAATTGTTCTCAGAATTCTCAACGCGCAAATTTAAATAAAACTTACATCTGATTGTTCAAACACTATAGGCAGTCTTAATGTTTTATTTGTTTTAAGTATTTTTCTTAGATTTGTTTTCTTTTCTATGTATAGGTTTACTTGAATAAATAATGTCTTAATTTTATTTTTTAACATACAGGTATACACATGTGGGGAGTGTGGCAAGAAAATCCAAGGTACTGTATCCATAGTCCAACATTTCTTAGCTCATGATTCGGACATGGTGAGGTCTGGGGCTGCCTTAAGTACCATGTTAAATGGTGGTGAACATAAAGACATGGAACAGTTGCTGCTCAACGGTGACGGCAGAAGTGAGAGTGAGACTGTAGGAAAGGGTCCATTGCATACAAATTTGTGGGTGCTGGAGACCAGACTTCAGAATGGCTCTGAAGAAGATAAAAAATGTGGGGAGGATGAAAGCAGTCAGGAGAGACTAAGTGGTGCAGGGATGGAAGCGAGATGTTTGCAGGGTGTCCCTGTCTCGGCTAGTCATATGAACATCCCAGTAACTCAGACCTTAGACCTAGGAACCCTCCTCCAGAATGGCATCAGGGAGAGTGAAGTGACTGAAAATGGAAATGTGATTGAAAATGCAAGCTATAATACTAATTTCCAAGAACCTTTACAAGTAGAAATTAATCCCTTAGACTTGTTGACAACTGTTATTGAAGAAGACCAGAAAAGTGATAACCCAGTTCTTCCTGCTGAGCACTTCCTTCTTAGTCTTCCAACTCCAACGCATTTCTTAGAGGGTGAAGGTGGTGGCCAGGAAGATTCCACAGACGGCTTTCAGGATGGCCAGGAGAACGATGACGAAGGCAGCAACGATGGCTTTTCTGATATACCTAGTGACATATTGCTCGACCATCCTGGGATATATCAGTGTGATAAGTGTGAAGAAACATTTAAATATCAATATCTGTTGGTGACGCACAAACATCAGGTGGGTACAGATATATAATGGAAAGTTTTAATACAATTCTACATATTGGATGAAATATACCTTCCCACAATATGGTGGGGGGGTCATCTTGTTGTAATTTTCATTATAAATTTAAAACATTAATTTTTTTGAGGTTTATAATTCTTTCTAAATATTAATTACTTTAAGTGGAGATGTGTTGTAATTTATCTATAATTTTTAGGGTATATTTGTTTAGACAATATCCAATATCTGCTCTTGTTTTACCCAGGTGCATCAAGGTGTTAATGTTCCGTACGAGTGTCAAGTGTGTGGCATGGAATATGTCGTCCTTCAAGAGTTAAAGCGTCATATGATGACGCACTCGGGAGCCACTATCTTCACGTGTAATGTGTGCAGCCAAGGCTTCTCAGATCGGGCAGCTCTCAAAACACATGCCCTATCCCATGGGTACGTTCTCTTGGTTTTTCACGTCTTGTTGGCATATTGACGGGATCTTTACTCATTTATTTTTGTTGGTGTTTATTCAAATATTTATAGTACATTAGATGTCATTGAGGAAAGTAGGTGCTATTATGAGTGTGAGATTTGGCAAGAATGTCATGAGTGCACTGAAATTGGAGTATCATTAAAGTGGCTAAAGGAAATCTCATATACATAAATATTGTATATTTGTCATTAAAGTAGGAAAGTCGGATTTAGTCTAGTGTGATACAATACAAATTCCCAGGGGAGCATTGTACTGGGGTAAATAACCATAAATGACATTCAAACTCCTTGTGAGAGATGTTTTTGAGTATGATGTCAATTGTGTAGTCCAATGGTTCATGTCAGTAGAATATGCCAGTACAATATAAAATTTCAAGTCATGGAACACACCAGTGCAGTATGGTGATAGATTATGCATACAAAATGCAATTATCCTCTTCATTTATCTGATACCTGAGAAAATTGATGGATAGAAATCTATACTGAATCATTAATGGAGAAATAACTAAGGGTGTTTTAATATGTACATTAATGTATATACGAGTATAAAATCTAGAAATAGGCTTAATCATAGTACACGTGTTCTACTCGGTTTAGTTTAAAATAAACTTTGTAGAAGAATTTGCAAATACAATTTTCAATATGTTACATGTACAATGTAAAATAAATGTTCTTGGCTAAAACTTGTTAAATTTTCAGGGGTACTACGGAAAGAGCTAGCAAGTGTGAATCTTGTGCGTGTGAATTCCCCTCCAAGTCTGAGCTTACTAGACATATTGTCAAGTACCAAGGAACCTGTAATCCCAACAAAAGTGGTGAGTGGATGTTGTAAAATTATTTTGAACACATTTTCATTTAGCATTTCTTTCAAGAATTTGTAAGACGTGATAGATGCATTCTTCATAGATATTTCTTCTGTAGTATAAGAAGCATTTTTTCTCCTATCCATTTCTTGATTAGCACCCCATTAAGAGTGCTTTATGAGTCCCATTTCTTTTCTGAGCCATCACGTTCTGCTGCATAATAAGTAAGTTTTAATGTGTCTATGTGCACAACACAGATGCATAGGAAAGGGGCAATATGGTTTGCAACCCAAATATATTTGGGTCTCTGAAGGTCACAGTTTTGAGTAGATCTGATTGGTCCAATTCCATTTTATTGCCTTTGGCATGGGCTAGGGAAAGTGTTGCTGGTTCATAATTTTATTGCCCTTCATCCATGTGGGCCCATTGACATGTTTGCAAAGATAATTTCTCATTACCACTTCCATTAGTTTAGCTCTCTATGTATCTGTACCTCGAAGCGAGTTTCCTGTTTTCCCAAGATATCTTATGGATAAAGCCCCCAAGATGAAGAGTGTAGACCCACTGAACTAGTCTTGTTTTGGCAATAGAATATGCATATAAAATGAAATACAGAGGATGTCCCTTCCTCATTAAGAAAATGTGTGAAGTATGGGAAGAATTGCAAAGTTTTGTTGAAAAAACTCACCCAGATAAAGCTGTAGCAGGCCATTGCATTGACCTTTAAATGACAATGTGATGTCTTACTACAGACAAGTGTTAAAATGTAGGGAAAAACAAGTGTCTTTAGACAGATTCTTAGTAAGACAAACAAGCAGTGAGCCACAAGCAGGTCCTAGTAGTATGCAGGCAAAACATGGCAGAGAGTGTATCCCAGAAAAGTCATCACTGCCTGATGTTATAATGGAATGGGGAACTCCCCTTCCAAACAGTAACACCTCTCCACCTCCCCTCATCGCCATCTTCCATACGCCATCAAGAGTCCTCCATAAAGGTAAAATAAACATATGTACAGTATTGTAGTTAGAGAAAAAAATTGTATTCAGTATAAAAGTATAAAATTTATTTGTAAGTGAATATTTTGGAGGGTGGGGAATGGATTAATTCAATTCCCTTTATTTTTTATGGGAAAAATCGCTTCGACTTACGATATTTCGACTTACGATACGTCTCTGGGAACAGATTGCCATCGTAAATTGAGGCCCCCCACTGTACAGTGTACTCTGCATTTAGGTGAACACTTTAGAGAACTGATGGATAAAAATCTATGAGTCATTAATAGAGCAAATAGTAACTGATTGATTACATCTGAAGCAGTTTTTTCAATGATAGGTATAGCTGCCCTATTATTTCTGGCATTGTTTTACCTGAGTTTTCTGTCAACTTAGGACCTCTACTTGTTATGCTTCTGTTATGAAGTCACTAAATTCTTTGAAGCCTAAAATTGACAGCTTCTTTTATCCAGTTCATTCTGATCAGTAATTACCCCTCTTTCCCCTTTTCTTCTCCCCCTTTTTTTTTTTTTTTTTACACCATAGTAGTCATTAGGGGTCTACTGCATTTCTTATGACATGACAATTTTGTCTTTGTGAGTGCCGTTAAATCCAGGTTCTCTTTGTTTGTCTGTTCCTAGAGTTTGTTTACCTTGTATGCTAGTATATTTTGATTTAAAACTTCTTCTGCTTCTTCGCAATACATGCAGTTTGCATGAAGGTATATCCTCCTGACGACTGCATGAGTGGTAATGTAGAAAGATGCTTATATGACAATGCACACAACACATCAACGGTCATGACATGCTCGCATCAAGAAGATAACGACACTGTCAAGGCGGGCGAGGATAAAGGCAAAATAAACAGGAGGAAAGGAACGTAGGATGGGAATAAAGAAAACAAGGTGAACATAAAGCGTCGCCACAGTAAGGAAAGCGAGGGATGAAGGGCGGGTGCAAAAGATGTGAAGGAGGCAAGTGTGAATGTGTAGAAGGGTAGAGGAAGTCAAGATGGGACAGGCGAGGTTAGGACAGGGCAAGGTACGTAGATGGCATCCGGAGCCTCACGACTGGGTCAACGCAACGGACTCTGCAGAAGCGCCAGCAGGACAACGGGAGGAAGATCTAGGAAGGGCACGAGGACAAGTCATGGGAGAACGCAATGTAAGAGGCCCATCAGGCAAGGTGGCAGAGCGCCTGGAAATCGGGACGACGAAGGATTGCTTCCGCTTAGTACTGGGGGAAGAGATGTGCGGCAAGGCAGCCTGGGAAGAGACATAGGGAAGGCTCGCCAAAGCGTTCTGAAGGACGTTGTCCAGCATCGATTCAAACGCATTGAAGATAGCAGAGGCAGCCGAGGGAGGATAGACGTCATCCGTAGAAGAAGCGGAGAAGAGGAGCGATGGGTCATCCTCAGGAACGGGAAGGACGGACTGCGGAAAGAATTTAGTGACTAGGCGGACCAGCCCCATCTTGAGTGCATCCACAACGCGAGCGACAATAGCGTCGACAAGATTGGGACTCAGTTGAATGGCGGGTGGGAGAGAAGAAGCCTCAGGGGCGAGAGGAACGTCGGTGACAAACGGGTCAGGCACAGGCAAAGGCGGCGATGGAGGGGGAGGGGAAAGCGGCAGGTGACAAGGAACTGGGGCAGGATGAGGCAAAGCACGACTGGAGGGCTGAGTGATGATGAGAAGAGCTTTAGTGAGCGCCGCAACATAGGAAAGACACTGCTTGAAAGTGATGGCATGATCACCACCACAGTTGGGGCAACAGAGCTTGTCGGACTCACAGTCACGAGTGAAATGGAAACCAGAGCATTTGCCACAATGGACGTTATTGGGTGCAGCCATGGGAGGTATGGTGAAAACCCTTACAACGAAAGCACTGAGTGATACGGGGAACATACACCTGCAATTTATGGAGGACGCCATTAATCCAAACCCAATCAGGGAGGAGGGAGTCAAGAAAAGTAAGGAGGGCAGTGCCGGTATTACACAGGTCGCCATCAATTCTATGCATAAATTTCTTGACACCAAAGATCGGAAGGGCAGCATCTTGCAGTTGCGTCTTGATGTCGTCCACATTGACGTCAACAACATGCCGGACCACAAGTTGTCCCAAACGGTCACCCAGAGGTGTATAACAGACCTTGTAACCACAGATATCGGTAACGTCCAAAAGCATCAAGTCTCCGGAGGAAGCATGGTACACGGCAATCAAGTTCCTGTGTTTATTTGGCCTGAAATCGTGCAACTTGATCTTAAATAACTTGGGAACGGCTTGATAGAAAAGACTGCGTACCCTACTATTTCCAAAAATACTCCAATCAGCGGGCGTATCGGCATCAAAGGCGATGATGAACGTACATAGGCCAGGAGAACTCGTCCGACTGGGAGGGAGTGGAGGGCGTAGACAGGTTGCAGGGGGAAGAGGGGGGTCACAGGGCACCGCAGGACTCGGGCAACGTTTCGCCTCCACTCTATTAGCCTTACTATGAAGTTTACTGTCCAGAAAAATACCCTCGGGATCCCCCTCCAAGACCGGGAGAACGTCATGACCGGAATGCGTGCAAAGGGACAACGGGTCTTGAAAACCCTCAAAGGGATTGGAAATGTCCACGGGAGAAACGCTGCGTGAACCACCATTCGTTGCCATGGTCGGCCAGCAAGTCAGCGGGATTTAAAACACACTTATCTTTGCATTCTCACTTATTAGCTTCCTTAGTATTGTTGTTTTAATTAACTTTGTAAATTTCATATTTTTCTTTATAATGAAATGAGTTTGATTGTAAATGTTAAGTTATAAATAAAATGGTATCCTAGTAAGAGTTTATGGGTAAATAAATGAACAGTGTTAAAGTTACACAATGGTAGCTAACATTCTGATACTGGGTATTTATAAACCAGAAAATGTTCTAATTCAAAAATCATTTAGGCCAATTCTCTCTTGATTAAACCCTGCGCTGCGCACGTGTTGCATGTGACAACTCTGTGGAGGGGTATGAAAACAAATTCCAGAGTGCTTTTTTCATTATACAGTATTGTTTAAATGCATTTCTTGATTCTGGGGAAAATATAAAAAATAATATGTAGCATACTTTGACTGTGGAGGAGAGGGGAAAATTCTTGCAATGACTTCACAATTCACAGGTGTTGATGGACAAGACTCCCTGTGGAGGTTGCCTAGGCTGTGCGAGTTGCTGCAAATATATTTATTGCGATTTATTTCAGTGTCACTGATTAGTTGTTTTGCTGTTTTTTTCCAATTATGCAATACTGTAGTGTGTAATTTGAGTCATTTCTATAATAAAATGTGCAGAATATCAGTACATGCAAATATATTCGCGTCAATAATATGCAAAGAGTATTACTGTATATTCTTTGAACAATAAAACAAAACTGTTTTTGTTATTATTACACTGCATACACATGTTATATATACAGTAATTAGCTACATGTTCAAGCACCATTACAAACAGCTAAGCAGTTCTAGTGGGTGTGATATTCTTGTAAACGGGGTCGGCCGGCCGAGCAGACAGCACGCTGGACACGTGATCCTGTGGTCCCGGGTTCGATCCCGGGAGCCGGCAAGAAACGATGGGCAGAGTTTCTTTCACCCTATGCCCCCTGTTACCTAGCAGTAAATAGGTACCTGGGAGTAAGTCAGCTGTCACGGGCTGCTTCCTGGGGGTGGAGGCCTGGTCGAGGACCGGGCCGCGGGGACACTAAAGCCCCGAAATCAACTCAAGATAACCATGATACAAGCACAGAATAGCTCCACATGTTCGTCTGTTGTTGATGACACACGATGCCACAAAGTACAGTGCAACCTTGAATGAATGAATCTTGTTTTGGTGAATTTCTGGTTGGGCGTTTTGGAATTTTTGTTGTTGCAATGTTGCATTTTTTTCGTAGGACAAATGGTAACCCTTATATGCCTCCAATCACGTTTTAAATGATTTTATAGATGGGAGCAACATTAGAAGAAATAGTAGAGAACATTGGGAAAGCCATTGAGCATATTTAAAACCAAATTTTGTGGTTCATTTAATTTTGAGATTGCCCAGTTTTTGTTCACTAATATGGGTACTTTTTCCTTTGAAAATCAGGTTTCTAGGTTAATGCATGGGAAATATGTTAGATGTAGTTAAATTTCTTCTTTACAGGTTCTCTTGGTAATTGCCCTTCACATGACGGATTGAAATTAAAATTTCACTCAATTGAAATCGGCCCATATAGCATGGGAAATATTAGGGAGTGAATGGTAACTCTTTTAATATGGATCCAGTCACATTTTGATGATTTTTGTAGATGTACTCAACCTTGCAAGAAATAGTTTGAACCTCAGTCAAGCTATTGAGGATATTAAAACCAAATTCTATGGTTTGTTTACATTTTGAGGTGGCAAGTTTTTTGTTCACTTAGGTATGGCCCTGCTACCTTTTGAAAATGAGTTTTGAGGCTGGGGGACGTGAGAAATAAGCTAGATGTGGTAAAATAAAATTTGCAGACATGTTCGTTTAGTTGTTGTCTATTATATTATAGGTTGAAATTTAAAAATTTTGAACTGAAATAAGCTCATAGGGTGTGGGAAATGTATCCTGGAGGCATCTCCGGTTGCACCTCACTGCAACGATGTGTGCACCACTGATGAAACGACCCTCGGTGATGTGCACAGTTGAAGGGTTAACGATACATCATTGTATAATAAAAATGGATGTTAATTATTTTGCATTTCCAGAGGGAGTAAAATGTGCCACTTGTGGAGAAGATCTTCCTACGCTAGAGGCACTGAAAGAGCACCGGCGTACAGCCCACCCCACACCAGAAATGACGCCAGGGTCTGGTAAAAAAGGATTTGAATGCGACTATTGTGGCAAGACCTTTAACTGTCGCTCTAACCTTAGAGACCATTTGGTGAGTGTCCCCGGAGATTCCTACCACAGGGTGAAAGTTGATGTTACTGTTGATGTTAAATATTGATGTATATATATTTTGACAGCACCACTACTACTTTGTAAGAACTGGTTTTACTTCTTATGCTCAATATGTCTGTGTTGTGTATTTAAATAACTCATCAGGTTGATTGTACAGACAGTGTATCTGGTATTAGATGAGAATGTTATCAGTATAAATGTTTATGAATTTTATTTTCTATAATTATTAAAAAGACTTGTAAATTTAGCAGTAGCTATGATTTCTTGTTTGAACCAGTCAGAATGATATTTTCATATCTTTGCAATAGCAATGTAAGATTATTTTAATTACTTTTTGCTGACTTGATTTGGATAATCGAAATGTAACTTTGAATATTCATGATAACTACAGATTTATTTGTGTAATAGGCTTTCTTTTTCTCTCTCTACCCATCATGAGCAAATTTTTCATCTAATTACTTCCATTTTCTTAAAATGAATGTAACAGTTATAATGTTGATAAACTTGACCTAATCCTTTAGTAAGCCGCACAAATTTCATTTTAATTTCCTTTTTTTTTAAAGAAAAAATAAGTCCCAGTTTTATTTTTAAATAAAAAGTAGAAGTTTGGGTATGTGTAATGTCATTTCATGTTAATAATAAAGGGACTGTATTTTATTTTATAAAAGAGCAATTCGATGTGTTACAGGTTGTTCACACTGGTGAGAAGCCATACCCATGTGATATTTGTGGCAAGTCATTTAGCTTCATCCACAACATGAAGACTCACAGACTGACGCATAATGAAGGGCGGAATGAAGTGTGCCCTTATTGTGATAAAGCCTACAAGAGCAAGATCTCGCTCTACTACCACATGAAGAAGGGCAACTGTAGAGGACTCTCGACCAAAGAGGCAAGTTTATCTCTCATCTCTCAGGGCTTGAGATATGTACTTATGCTCTATGTCTTTGCCTAGGAAAGAAACACCTATGTAAATACTGGTTTGTAAATAGATTGTTGATTAATGAAAGAAATTTCTGCGGAATATAATAGACATGGGATTGCTGGATTGTATGAAACGAAGGTTAGACATATGCAGTATATGAATGTACAGTATTTGGGTTGATATATGTAACTATGAGCTGTTTCATATAAATGAACAAATCCGCAAGGGCTGTGATGAGGGGTTTGAACCTATGTCCGAGTGGATCCCAGACGCTGCCTTAATTGACTGAGCTACGACACGGTTAAAAGAATTGCAACCGGGAAATCATCCTGATTTACCGACGGATTCTGCAGTCTCTCCGAGACACAAACTAAAGTTTTACGCAATTTCCCCATGCGGTAAGGGCAAAGAGGTAGAACAGCCTATTGACATAGCTTGAGTGCATGGGGGGATTTGCGTAAAACCCTGGTTTGTCTCTCGGAGAGACTGTAGGATCCGTCGGTAAATCAGGATGATTTCCCGGTTGCAATTCTTTTAACCATGTCGTAGCTCAGTCGATCTAACTGAAGGAAGGATGGAATGGTGCCTAACCATTTAGACCATCTGGTGATCAAATGTTGATCTGCAAGAACCATTGCTGTACTGACCAGCGAAGTTGTTGGATGGAGTAGTTGTAGTGTTTAACTCATTAGCTGTGACACTTCTGTTTTAGCCCCATATTTTTCTTGAATCTAAATTGGTTCTTCATTTAAAGTAAGAAATTATCTGCTCTTTCCAGTGACACCATTATTCTTTTTTAGCTGTTAATGGGGAATGTGGTTGCTCCATGAGAATTTGGCTGACACTGTGATGGGTGACCTTTTCAGGCATAACTTTCCCCTCTAAATCCATGTTGTGTGTCTTTTACAAATCATATCTTGTCAAACATTTCACCAAATGGTCCTTGATTATTATATCCGATACTCTTTGCAATGCATGTTAGCGAGACCAGTCTACAATTTAGGGGCTTCCTCTATGTTCCCTTTCTTGGAGAATGGTATTAAATTTGCCTTCTACCCACAGCCTTCTTTAGCACCCGTGATGATCTGACTGGTCCTGTTGTCATGAAGTTCCACCAGGTTTCTTGCTACTTCTTCCTCAGTGACTATAGTGCTGTCCCACATTGTAGCTGTTCTGTGGGAATCATTCTTAATTAGTTTTAATCTGTAATCTTTTTAAACCCTTTCACACATCCTTGTTGTTTTCTGTGAGGATGTTGCTTTTGTAAATAGTAGTATTATTATTACAGAATTTGTGGAACATTAGTTCACAAAGATACAGTACTGTATATGCCTCATTTATAGGTGCACCATATTATGTTTTTAGAATAATAAAACTTTCTATTTTAACTGTTATCACACTTTACTCATATAATTTATTACAATTTACATGTTTATACAGTGTTGTGAACTACTTGAAAGTAATGGAGGGTGTGATAATCTCCAAAGTCATTGTCCATGCACAGTGCAGCTGCACACAATCTGCACGAAGTTGTAACTGCCTTTAGTCACCGTGTGTGTTCTTGCAGAGAGTACTCATGTTGGGTGTTCTGGTATAGACGTAAGGTAGTGTTGCAGCACTAGGTTTTGTAGGGCGAGAGATGCTAACAAAGCAAAGTGCTGCCAGTACCACTGCTTTCTGAGCCAAGTATATAATGTTTATAGCTCTCAGAATTGTCCAAGTAATTTATAAGCTTCATAGTTGTACAGTTTTCTATTTATTTCATCATCCATAAGTGATAATGGTTACCTTGTGAGAGCAAGCCGTAGGACCAGGGTGGAAACTCGAGCCGAATTCACAACACATGTTTGCTACATTTATACCACTGGCCTGTAACTAATGCAGGGTATCCAGTTTTTTTTGCAAGGTGGCATCTGTTTATTGGAGTCCTCAGGCATTGGATGTGAGCCCTATTACCCGTTGGAGTTTCAAATGTTGCAGGGTACCTAAAAAATCTCACGATGGCTTGAGCACTAAGAGTCAAATATCTGAGGATGTTAAGTGCAGTATAAGGGTTAATTGGTCCTTTGCTTTTAGATCACTAAGCATAACTATATCCAATTGATTTACCCTGTGGATATTTTTAAGTTGAAGAGGAACTAAATTTAATTTTATTCTATTTCTATCGATAGGTGCCAGAAGGGTATCATCGATGTACTGAGTGCCTGCAGATGTTTGCCAGCGAGGAACGATTTAAGATTCACAAGGACAAAGGTCACTGTCAGATCTCGCACCGCTGTCCACACTGTGGCTTGAGATGCTCGACGGAAACACGCCTTCAGAATCATATTCAAAAGGGTGTCTGCCAAAAGAAGGTGAATGTTGTAAATGCATTTAATAGTTTATGGAATAGTGCTGCAGTCTCTTGTGTACCTACCAGTATCACAAACTAATTAGATTTCTCTTGACTGTTTCTTTCAGGTATGTACATGTATGTTCACTGATCTTGAGCCTTCTGTTATATATACTTAAGTTAGTACAAGTGAATAAATAAATGAATATATTAGTGTTTTGTGTTGGCTATGACCCCACAACACCTCTTTTCGGTCATTGTGGGGCAATTGAACTTTGGGGGTGGTAGTGTTACCCCTGTTGTGCAGTGAGTGCGTCTTTGGCCCCAGATTACAAGTGGGCCTTCTTGTTAATCCTGCTTTCCTTCTTGACCTTTCAGGTTTTAATTACTTCTTTCCTGGTCTACCCCCTCTGCATGACCACTTTTCACCAGGTCCAACTAGGTGGTGGTTTCCTGGATGGTGTCCCTGAACTTACAGGATACCTGTTGGCATATGCCTATTCATTGTTACCACTTTTGGGCTATGCTTTTTAGCTTGAATCTCACACCTCAGATTTGAACAAGGTTGGTATGACTGGTGGTGTTCCCCATATACAGTAGTTGATTAGGATGCATATCCTGGCCTACCTCGTCAACTGGCTGGTTTGGGTTCCTAGTTGGTCTGCATGTCTGCAAGCTGGAGATTTTTCTCAGCTGGCCAAGTTCATGTCTTTGGTCATTTATTGGCAATCCCATTTGGTTCTGTTGCAGGTTTAAACTTTGCTGGGCCCTCATTTGGGATTTTCAAATGGTTTCCTTTTCCTTACCATTGGCTGTCCTGGCCCTGCTTCATTTGGATGCAAGACTCTGGCTGATGTTGGAGAGTCCCCGAGTTCTTCTGACACACAGCACAGTTTGTGGCAGTTTGGCATGCCTTGTGGTACCGCAATCTTCCTCAAGGCTCTGTGGTCTATCTCCACTCTGACTTTTTCACGTTCCATTCAAAACTGTTGTGCGGTGACATGGGTATGAAATGAATGCTTGGGGGCCCCAGTGATCGTCCGCCATCTTGAAAAAAATCCCAGCATGCCCCGCGGCCATGGAGAGCCTCAGTTTCAAAGCAGCAGCCATGTCTAATGCATCATCTATGAGCTTCCGCTCCACGGTCACCCGCGGTCATGGAAAACTACTCTCTGAGGAGGAGATACACGACATTTTGTACGATGATGGTGCTATGGATGATGACTTAGACGATGATCCAGAGAATGACCTTACACAGAAGTCTGATACGAGTGAGGGAGAGACTGAGGTGGATGATGTAGCGAGCGTGTACGGTACACGGACCTCGCCGTCCTGGGTCAACACCGTTATCAGCACCATGAATATCCCCAGACGCAAGTTTATTTAATGATAGTATATGCGATGAATCTTTCTCAGGCTTCGGTGACATAGGCTCCGATACAAGTAGTGTGGAGGACCCGAGTACGAGCAGCAAGGGTGTTACCAGGCAGGGTTTTGCTGCCTCAGCAACACGTCGCAGCAGGCGGCAGCGTGTCTTGCAGCAACACGACAATGACGACAGTGGCCCCTCTACATCAGGTGTTCGTGGTAGGCCTAAGATACGTAGATCAGCCTCATCTCCTACTATACCCTCACGCAGCTCCGGCACCAGTTGACGTAGCCGTGTTTGTGGTGCTCGTGGTGGTGTTGGTGCCAAAACCAAACCCCCGGGTGTACTTGTGTGGGAGGATTATGCCACATTAGTTCCACAAATACCAACGTTTGATGCTACCGATGTTGGTGTTACACCATCGTATACAGGTGGTGATATGGCAGAAATAGACTATTTCCTCGCGTATTTCGACAACGAAATCATGACCCATCTTGTGACTGAGACAAACCGATACGCTCACAGCCTCATAGACACCAGCATTTTACCTGCCTCATGCGATGAAAGGACACCACAATTGACGAAATGTACGTGTTTCTCGCACTCAGCATGATGATGAAGCACTCTGAGAAAGCCGTCGTCCAGGATTATTGGAGCAAAGACAGCCTTGTTCAATCGCCCGTGTTCAACCGATACATGTCGTGTGATAGGTTACTGTTGATTCTCAGGTGCCTGCATTTTGAGAATAATGCAAATGAGGACAGACACGACAGACTGTGGAAGGTATGGAAGGTGTTCAGTGACATGAGAGGCAAGTTCTGAGATTATTTTGTACCTGCACAGAATGTGGTAATCGATGAATCGCTTGTACTGTTCAAGGGACGACTGGCATTCAAGCAGTACTTCCCATCAAAGTGCCACTGTTTTGGACTAAAGTTTTTCGTGCTGTGCAACTGTGAGACTGGTCTCGTCATGGACATGATTCTGTATTGTGGTACAGACATCGACATACCAGCTCAAGATCCACACGGGTTCTCCGGCAGTGTCGTAAAAATCCTGATGGAACCGTTGCTGAACGAGGGGCATATATTGTTCACCAACAACTATTACACCAGCCCCTTTTTGACCAGATACCTCCTTGCCCACAACACTGGCGTATGTGGCACTGTGAATGCCCACAGGAAGGAAATGTCAGTGTTTGGCATTGGTATAGCAATGGATGACTGCCAGCTGTGCAGGTGTGACAATATGCTCTCAGTGCGGTGGAGGGACAGATGCGAGGTGAATATGCTGACTACGATTCACACCGGTGCCATGTTGGACAGTGGCAAAGTCCACTTTCAAATGCGCTTCCCCATTTATAAACCAGACTGCATCATAGACTACAACGTGAACATGCGTCTCGTCGATAAGTATGACATGATGCTCGGTGCAGTGGAGTGCGTTTGAAAGTCTGTGAAGTGGACGAAAAAGTTCTTTTTCCACCTAATACATGTTGCAGTGCTCAACTGCTTCAATATGTACCTGGCAAAATCAAGCAGGAGACCGCCAATACGGACATTCAGTGTTGGTGTTGTGTTACAAATGCTAGTAAAGTATGGCAAGAGGGCTCTGTTGCACCGTGCGGTGTTACCTTACCTTGAGGTGCTTCCGGGGCTTAGCGTCCACGCGGCCCGGTCGTCGACCAGGCCTCCTGATGGGTGGTGCAAGTAACATTGCCACACACAGCTCCAGACAGACTGAGGGGTAACGAGATCTTCAGTGTCCACATGCTCGAGTATATGCCAGGCACAGCATCACAGGAGAAGGGTAAACGTGTCTGTATAGTATGTAGGAACACTACCCGAAGAGAACAAAAGCGAAGATGCATCAGCACCAGGTGCGTGGAGTGCAAGGTTCCACCATGCCCCGATGGCTGTTTTGCACCATATCACACACTCACGGAGTTCTGAGTGTGTTTATGGTGTGTGTATATATAGTGTGTGATACTGTATAGTGTGTAAATATATTGTAAATATAAATAAAATCAGCATGATACATGGGGAAATATGTGCAGGATATGTGTACACATGTGTCATGCACGTAACACAGTGTCTTCGGACAGTACAGATGTTCTACTGCCATAATATAGTGTACGTGTTCATTATACATACGATTCGCACAAAAAAACAAATAAATTGTACTTGGAACTGTGCACAAAAAATGAACAAAAATATATTCGTGGCAACTCGCGCATCTTTAGCCGAGCGCCCTACTGGCCCCGGGAGCGTGCACCACGGGCGATCGGGGATTGATGACGTCACATGCGAACTTACGGACCCCTTAGCAGCCAAAATAAGTACAACATCGACTTTTTGTTAGCATATCCATACTCAGGGAAGGGTTTTTGACACTTTTCCCCCCCCCCCCCCAAAAAAAATCCAGAGTTTATTTCATGGGCACATGGGGGTGCTGCATTTGGAAGCCGAGCAGCCCAGTGGTTAAAGTACTGGTGGAACAAGCTAACTACTTGGTGTCTCGTTTTCTGTTTTGTTCACTTTTTACTTTGTTGTTGTCTATTTGTCTCGTTCACCTCTCTGGTGCAAGTTTTTTATTAGTGAACTAGTATTCTCTGCTCTGTTCCTCTGAGGGGAGCAGGTTTTGGCCTCTGGTCACCAGTAGGGTATTAATGACCCCGCAAGGGCTTGATGCAATTTGATAGATGTGGAACTATCTAAAGCAGCTAGCTGTAGGTTCTGTAAGGTCCTGTAGAACAATCATCAGGTTTTTTTTTTAGAGAACTTATCATGTATAACTATAAATATCTTAAGGTTTTATATATTTTTGACTGACTTTCAATAGAAGGTTGAAAATTAAATGGCAAAACATTGTGATCAAAGTTTATATTATTTATGGGACTGATTTGAAAGATACTTGATAAATATGGAGAAGAGCCATTCTTGATGACATTCAAAGGATGGGAAGCTTGTTTTATTAAATAGAGGAAAGTATATTCAGGAAAATCTAACCATGTATATTAGGTGTGTATTTTTTGCCAATAACAAGTTATCTGAGCATTAGTAATTAAGTAGGACTGTACAGTTCACACCTACAGCCTGTTTAAGAAATATTGTACAGGTCAAAATGGTGCAAAAAAACTATTTTTCCAGTGTAAGCCTATATAAAAAAAAAAAAATGCACTGTATCTGCCAGCTTGCCACCTCATTTATATATTGTTTGCATTCAGTAATCTTGGTTTTCTTTAACAAGATTTAATCATATTTTGTGTAACTGTAACAGAAGAGGGTTCCAGTTTGCGACATAAATGTCCAGTCTATATTTCATGTGTTTTCACAATAGTGGGTTATTATTCCATAACAGCATAAGACGGGTTGGGGGGGGGGGCAAAATTAACCTTGGAGTATGGTGGAATGTTATGCCGAGTAATGCCTTATAGTTTAATGGGGAATATTTCTGGCGGATTAGATTTTACAAAATATTGCACCTTTTATAATTAATTGTTATATATTGTTCAGTATGGCTTTTAAAAAAATTTATCCAGAAGATATTATAGCAGTATTATATGTATTATATGATAGATAACATATAGATAGCAGTATTATATGACCAATAACAAGAAATACTAAGTGTTTTGTGGATTTCAGGACTCTACATCAACCCCACATTCGTCAGACACGCCCAAGAGACGTCGTTTAAACAAAGAGCGTGAGAAAGCTCAGGAGGAGATAGTGTGTGATCGCTGTAACTATACCAAAGACTGCTGTTGCACTTTCTCCTGCAATCATTGTGGTAAGCGAGTTTTCTCTATCATGGCATACACTTTGCACTCGGAGAGAACGTGCCCCGTTCTCAAGCACAGACGAGAACGCATTCGAATGGCAATCATGGAGAAGAGGCGGCGCAGAGAGGCGTTAGCTCCAGCTGCAAGAGACTTCCTGGTGCAGCCTGAGCCCACAGTTGAAGTAGAAAGAAAAGTTCAACCTCACAGAGACTATTTCAGAATTGGAAGTGATAGAAACATTGGTGAGAATGATGTTAAAAGAAAAGCTGCCAATATTAAAGCAGAAGTGAAAATCAAAGAGGAAATAATTGAGAAAGCTGTAGTTGTTGCAAGCCAAGAGGCTGAAGATGGAGATGACAGTAGTTCTGGCAGCCTCACTGATCTCTCGACATTTACCTCGCCAAATATTCTTCAACCAGTTACTAATCCTACTGATGAGTGATGAAATGTTTTCAAACTGTTAGTACTTGGGTCGGAGAGCTGTAGGTATAGACAAATATTTAATTTGTTCCAAGGCCTTCATAATTTTAGTCTTCAAATCTACAGTGCTGACAAAAAAAACAAAATCATAAAATTAAAAGTTAAGCAGAAATGCATGTAAACCCAAGTGAAATAAACTCGTAAGCTGAGCTCCGAGAAACTGATCTAGTACCTGACTTTTCATTGTGCCAAAGAAAGGCTAGTGTCAGGGGTGGTATATTAGGGATGCAATACAGGGTGTCGTTAAATTTTCCAGGTGATGTTACTTCTTGTGTATAATTTTTTACGTAATTATATGACACTAACCCAATTTTGATATTGGTATTAAATTTCTTATGAGACCTTGCTGTCAACCCCAAGACAGTGTTACTGGTATTGAAAGAATTTTCCATAGGTGATGACAATGGCTTAAACAATACTTCGGATTATTAGCTATTCAAAAGTCATTGGTTAAGGTTTTGTTAAAGTGAAAAACCTTTGACATGTTTTTGTAGTTGGCGAGGTTCACAGGTGAAAGGTTCTTTATCTCCTATTGGGATCTAGAGTACATGTTTTTGTACTTAAAATGTAAAATTAAAAAAAAGTATAGAGAACTTTATTTAAAGCAATGCATTTGCCCAAAATATAGATAGAAAACAAAACCCAATAAGGAAATATTAAATCTTCTATGCCAGTTCTGTGTAAATATAATTGTTCTTAATATGCTTGCCAAAAGTTATTTATATATGCAACTGATATTCAGTTTGCTCTATATAGGTCACATGTATTCAGGAAGCATCTGTCACCCAGTGTTGGTGTGCTGGCAACACCACAGTAATGATGACAATTGTCTGCTTTATTAAAATTCAAAATAGTTGAAGTGCATAGTTGACAATCTAGAATTGAGCAGGAAATGTCCAACAAGTTGTTTATAGATAAGAAAATTTGAAGACAAACAATTTGAAAGTACTTTCAAATCGAGATGAAAATGTTCTCATGTTTAGTTGCATTGTATGCTTTTCCGTTCTTTTCGGTAGTTGTAATTAGTTCTCAGAGATTTGTATTTGCTAACCATAAAATGGCATTTATATATTAAATGATGTTGAAGTGAAATCATTCAATTATTTCGTAGGGGTGGTTATTTTCTGGGGGTAGCCCCGTCGGCTCCCCTGAGCTTATCCAGGCTGATATGCTAAGGTCAGACTTTGGCATCGGTCATGTGTATGGAGTTCTGTGGGCCTACTGGTGACCACGAGCCAGAACTTGGCCCCCCTCAGAGAGGCATGGGGAGCAATGGCCTATAGAAATTCCCGTGTGGTTGGAAGCATTCTATGTCTGCCATCGATCGGGTCAGGCACCCCAGAAAGGTAAGTGTCCCAAAACAAACCCCTATTCTGGTGAAAATTCCTACCAAAAGCCAAACAAGTAGATAGAACTCCCCAAAAAGAAACAAGCAAACGAGCATGACATCGCATGACGTCACACGTTGCCGTGCCGCTGTCTGCACAGCTCCCCCCTCCCCGGGAAGGGGGAGCCTCAGGCCCTCACACCGGCTATCCACCCTTCAGTTCTAAGGCTTATGCTAGAGGCAGAAATCATGTGCTCTGCTCCAGTGATTTTTCAGCACTGTGCTTAGCGTGTGGTGGCTGTCTTCCAGGGGTGCGAGAGCCAGGAGTTATTCTGCAGTACTGTACTCAAGCTGCATGCGCCTAGGGTTACCTTCCCTAGGTGCCCTGTAAGTACTGCCCTTGGGGCTTGGGGTTACCTTCCACAAGGTCCTTGGGTCCTGCCTCTGTTGGGCTGTTTCACTGCTTGGTTTTTTGGCCACCCTTTGGGTGCTTGGGTGTTTTGTCTCCCTTGTTTACTTTAGGGTAAGAGGCAGTTTGCACTGGTACGGGGCGCAGGGTGCTGCTCAGCTTGTTTTCACCATTCTTAGCAGCCGACTCTGTTCCTTTGGGTACGTTATCCTCTTGCGGGGTTTTGTTTTTGTTTGTGCCTTGTGGGGGGTCTACCTTGCTTGCCCCTTGGTATCTGACCTAATACGGTTTTCTTCTGGTGGTGCCGCCTGTTAGGTCCCCGTGAGAGTTCATGTCTTAGGGGTTCAGTTATTAGAAAGTTGTTTGATGCTTGGTTGGTCTGGTTGGGGATGCATCGTGTTTTGTGTTCGGTTGCGGCACTGCGCCGTGCTTGACTTGCCACAGCTGCCGTGACTGGGGTCACACTTTGGGTTGTTCAGAGTTCCCTGTTCCAGGGTGTGGTTCTCTCAGGTCGTCCGCAGGGTGGTTCGGTCCTGCCAGCCTGCTGTCTGTCCCTGTGCCCACATCATTCGTTGGTTGGCTCTGCGTTCCTTCGGTGATGTTCCTGGGCCTTGTCGGGCCTGTGTGGCCTTGGGTTGGCGGTTGCAGTTTTGTCTCCGCTTCGCGTTAGGGGTGTGTGTCTTCCGCTTCCCGGATTAGGTCCCTCTTGTTTTTATCTTTGGGTAGGTAGCTTTGGGGAGACGATGGGATCCCTCCAGAAAACCAGCGTTGAATGTAACGAACACCATTTTCTGGGTGAGACCTGGAGGCTCCCCGGCATCCCTCCCTCCCTCCTGTTGGCGTTTTTTTTAATGTCTTTTGACATCCAGCCTCAGAACTGAAGGGTGAATAGCTGGCGTGAGGGTCTGGGCGCAGACAGAGGTGCGGCGACGTGTGACGTCATGCGACATCATGCTCATTTGCTTGTTTCTTTTTGGAGAGTTCTATCCACTTGTTCAGCTTTTGGTAGCAATTTTCACCAGAATAGGGGTTTGTTCTAGGACTCTTACCTTTCTGGGTGCCTGACCCGGTCGATGGCAGACATAGAATGCTTCCAACCACATGGGGGTTTCTATAGGCCATTGCTCCCCCATGCCTTTCTGAGGGGGCCAGGTTCTGGCTCGTGGTCCCCGGTAGGCCCACAGAACTCCATATACATGACTTGATGCCAAAGTCTGACATTAGCATGTCAGCCTGGATAAGCTCCGGGGAGCCTCCGGGTCTCAACCAGAAAATGGCGTTTCATTACATTCAATGCTGGTTTTTTAATTCTACATGTTCATAATATTCTTTGGAGTCATATTTGTATTGCATAGCATACAACTATCAATTTGAAATTTGTTGAATTACGATATTGATAATGTAGTTGTTGTCAATTGATTTTGTGTTACTAGTATTATGCTTGTAAAGCCAAATGATACTAGGTTAACTTGATTAGCCAAAACCCTCTTATTGACTACTTAGTTGAGGTCAATTATGGCCCCAGTGGTGTATTGCAGGAGTAATTATTTTTAGTGTGGCTTGGTATGGGTTGTCAGAATAGGACAGCTTTGGAATTCATCAGTTCTTGTTTATATATTGTAACTGTTGTAGGTTGCTTTATCCCTGGGTCCTGTAGTGCAGCGGTCTATGTTCTTGACTCCCAGTCGATCCCGGGTTCGATTCCTGGGCGGGGCAGAAATGATTGGGCACGTTGTGGATTGCATCCTGGAGACGGTCAGTAGTTGGCCTAAAGAGGCCCTCTATAAGCCTAAGTGCAGGCTTCCTGTCCACAATAACTGGAATTAAAATTTTTAAATTAAATCCGCTGTGAGGCAGTTCATACTCAAACCATTACATGGCTTTAAATTTGTGTGATTATTACTAAGTTCTGTTTGTTGTCTAAATTTGTTTTCTTTGAGTACTAGTGTAGTTTGTGTTGATGACAATCTGGTGTGGCTTTACTAACTAGTTTTTTAATGCTCTAATATTTATGTTGTAGGCTGTTGATTTGACTGATGGCTTGATATATTATGTTGAACAGTACCTGTTTATCAGTCAACTCTGTTGGTGACGACAAGCTTTATTACAGTATTTATTTTCATTCGGCGAAAGTCATTTGCATCTCGTTTGATATTTTTCACGATATAACATTTTGTTTAATTTTCTTAAGCTCTCTTGACCCTCCTTATAAATTATTATTTCAAAGGAACATATATCTTGAGAACTGCTGAAAAACAATACAGAAAGCTGCAATTTCTGGAATCCCATTAAAGGTGTTGCTATTGTAGATGCTGTAGTTGTGCAGATACTATTAGATAATATGAGAGTTGTTGAAAAAAACAATTTAAATTTTGTATGGAACCTGATATAATGTTAAACAAATCAGTGTTGTAGCTTAGCTGTACCTTAACCTGTTGACATATCTAAGAGGTTTTCTTTGGCTGTTTACAAAGTGTAATTGTGCATTTGCATTTTTATAATGATGTATGTGTTTGAAAGACAATTTACAAAACTGATGTAGAAATATTGTATGTGGACACTTCACATTAATCAGGGGCAGGCTACTTTTATGCCATCTCTATTCAGGGCCACTGATTCACCAATCGCCTGTATGCATACTTATAATTTACTGTACATTTTTATATATTTTCCTATGTGACCAATTTGTAGTTATGGAGTTTTTAATAAATTTGTAAAGGAATATCTATGCCAAAAATGTCAAGATAAGTCATTAATTATAGACACAGATAGGCACTGCTATTTCATTTGATTTTACAGTTTTCAGTGTTATGATCGACAATTTAGCTTCTTATTGCTGAAAATTGTAGGTGTGACACGTGGGATGATTTCACCGACCGTCCAAATGTCTAGTCTAGTTAGTGAGAGCGAGTTCGTAATGGAGGTGATGTATTCTTAACTCTTCATACTTAACCTGGAAATTACTCCAGGAAAACTTCTATTTGTGTGTGTGTATGCATGTACACATATCTACACACTGCACAAATACACACAGGCATGCATAAATACACATATTGTACATGCATAATTACACATACCCATACATACAGTATATATATATTTATTTATTTATGTTTATAATAAATGTTATTTCCAACATATCAAAGTAGTTAGCCTGAGAAGTTTCCTAATCCTTAGATTGCTAGGTCATTACAAACTTTGTGTGATGCAATGAAGGAAAGTTTTCAGTAGCCATACTGTAGCTTGCAATGTCGAGTGCATTATGTATACCCTTTTGATGCTGAAGGCTCTTAGGTCATTCAATTTCTGATGTAAGGAACTACCTGAACATTTCCTTAGCAATATTAAGAAGAAAAGGATATTAGATCGTGTAATACATGAATACTTCATGTATTCAGTAGTCAGGCTTAACCCTTTTACAGTCAACTTCCTTCTTTGTTCTTGTGTGGTTGTTCTACACGGAAGGTTACTTTTGTTGGTATCATTGTGATAAAGAGCTTGAAGCAGTGTTCTGACTCGTGGATGTTTGCAACTTAGAACAAAAAATGTCCAAAAGTTTTACAATTAAAACTGGATTAATTCTGGATAAATTATGTTATCCATTATTTGCATAACAATTAGTGTTGTATATCATGTTTGATTAATCATGTTTCAGCTATTTTAATAAAAATGGAAGCGAACACTATTCAGTTAGGGATTTTTTTAATATACAATATTAGTGGTGTTAATGCTATATGAAATATTAAAATGTTCTCTATTTTGTGTAAGGACTGTTATCAGCCTACACCAAATATAGTCGATGGGAATTAAACACTTGTGATATATGCCCTATATTTTTAAGAGTATTTCTATGTAACATTTAAAATTTGAAGATTTAATTATTAATTGAGTAACTAATACTATTGACTTATTTGTATATTAAACAATGATACTATTATTACTTAGTATTGTAAATGATGACTGTTTACCATAGGTGATACTGTGTAAGTTGTTATCCTGTCTCGATACTCCATGTTTATTGGTTAACTTGTGTTGAATAATATTTTGTCATTTTTCCACATGTCTGGTATCCACTTGTGATGCCTACACTTGTCTTGTGCTGCATTTATCTAGGCCACTGTGGCCTTCCTTAAGCTTCATTAGCATTCTGTATCATTTTTGTCACAAAGTAAGGTGGTCTGTGCAAGGTTTACTGAACATATCTGCTACTGATCAACAACACCAGCAGTCAAAAATGTTAATACTTGACAAAACTATACTTGAATAAGTGATATAAGTTTCCACTTATTATTTAGTTCATATTTAGAAAGAATGATTTGTTCATGAATATTTATACATGGTAGAGTAGAAAAAAATTGAAAGGTAGAATATAAGTCTACCTATATAATAAAATTAGCAAGTATAATGTGGCTGAAATTATAGACATTCAGCCCCTAACTCTAAAAAATAGAGGAAGTGATAGTGTTTAACTTCATCCTGGACTCTTAAATCATCTTGTAGATTGGTCTT